CAAGCACCAGGCATATGCAGGACTTGGTGGCCTGTACACCAGGTCACAGTACAATTCAGGTCAGGAAGGACTGTCTCTTGGCCAAGGTGATACCCCGAGAAGCAGGGTGCAGATAGCAAGAAATTCAGAGCAGAAGTGGGCTCCATCACTGGTCGTGTCCATTGATGGCTGCGGGATCATGGTGTGGTGCTTTCTCTCCCTGTCTCAAGAAAGCACTGGACGATATTCAGCCATTAACAGGTTTGCCAGTGGTATTGCCCTGAGTGAAAGGTAAACCTGTATGTCAGCTTCACCTTATGTAACATTAAAGGAAAAACTCTCACAGCTCAAATGGAAAATAAAATGCAAACAAAACAAGGTGCATTTTCATCTATTTCCATCTTATCCACCTTCAAAGTCAGAAAGTTATGAAGCTTGCTGCCAAGCATAAGTCAATAAATAAACAAATGAAGAAAATATCAACAAGGTTGATTTCAAAGGCCATGGGAAGAGGGTGAGTGCCATGATTTCAAGCCTTCTCCTTCTTTTCAGTCCTCAAATGCTAAAAAACTGTGCCCTTGCCCTAGGGTGAGAAGGGAGCCCTTGCAGGAAGCAGCTGAATTCAGAGCTTCTTTAAGCTGATGAACTGGATTCAACCCTGCACATCCTTATAAATATAACTAGTCCAAGAGAGACCAGTGAGAACTGTAAATAGTTTGGTGACCACCAGCTGTTACGACAGTCAATTCCAGCTCACCACAAGCCCTTTCTCATGGATGATCAGGACTGATCTGGGACTGTCCCACACATATGGCAGCACTGCAAGACAGGTTCCCAAACCTTCTGCAGCCTGGCAGCTCACAAAGCAGCTGCCCAAGGACAACACACAGGAGAAGAAAGTTTCTCGCCTTCAGGCAGGCTGAAGACATGGGATGATGGAGAAGGGGGGGATCTGGAGCTGCCGCCACTACTGTGACACACAGCACACCCCAGAGCAGGTGCAAGACAGAGATGTTCTCCCTTCTCTACTCCAACTATAGCTCCCCAAAATAATGTCTTCAGCTAGCTCCTGTTCAGAGCACCCCACATCTATCAGGATGCAGAAGCAAGCATGGTACCCTCCACGCTTTTTTGCCAAAGGCATCTGGGAAAAGTACTCTGAACACTCCCAAGCCACAGGAAAAGAGACTGCAGAATTCACATGAGCAATTCTGAAAAGCAATAAGCATCACAATCTTACAGATTAGCTGGGGTGGTAGGAGCTGAAATAACATTTGTATTATGACTTGGCCAAACCAGACACTGCAGTTTAACGTTTGGGTAAGACCATGAATGTTCATTCATATCTTTGTTCTCATTCAAGAATGTGAAGACTGTAGCAGACTTACAACTAACAGATATGGTAGCACTGAAACTGCCAAAGCTTGTAAAATCTGATTTACTCTGTGAGGGGCAAGGGGAAGTCATTTAGTTTGAGTCATAAGAGGTCTTGATACAATCTAGGCTTCATCATATCTGAAGAAACAGATCACTCCCTGGACAGATATCAAAAGGCTGCCATGAACAGCCTTGATAGCACAATAGCGAAGAACAATTCCTAGAGCTGAAGACTACAAGATTTTTGTATTAGTTGCACTTCAGTACAGCTTCTCTCATATTACACCACCTGATGGGCACTCCATGTTTATGATTATCTCTTCAGGGGTCCATGGATACCTGGACAAGAAGATAGAAGCTTCTTGCAAAGGTTTTTAGTTAAAAAAAAAAAAGAAATTGTGCAATCCTAGGCAAAAATAACAATTTCAACCTACCTTTCTTTTCCTCCCTTAAGTTCTCACTCTCTAGAGCCTCATCTGCTCTAGGAGTCAGAGAGTCTGCAGCTCTCCTGCAGGTGAAAGAATGCAGGCAAAGAGGACTGGGGGTAATTCTGTCTTCATGTCCTTGAAAACACACAGTCTGATCTGGAAGGCTCTTGTGGCTCAGAATGCCCCTTTCTTTGGCCTGAGTCCTGTCTGAGTCCCATGAGGAGGGATAATGATCAAAGAACAAAAGAAAGCTCAAACTCAGCTGAGCACAAAATTTTATTCCCTACCTTAGCTGCTACGGTTGGGGAGGACTTTTTATTGCTGATGACATTTGCTTCTGGAGAGGAACATGCATCTGTGGGAAGAAAGAGTTGACTTTGTCACACACCCCATGGGGCTTTGTAAAGTAGCTGAGTGGGAGAATTTTTGACACCTCCCTGTGCTGGAGTTAACCCAAAAGTGCAGGCCAAGACTCCAGCAAGAGCCTCCCCTGGGGAGACGTGAGAATAGCACAGCCAATCCTGCCCCTCCATGAGAGCTGCTCTCCAGCACTCCTGCAGCCTCAGACAGAAACCAAATTCACAAATGGCACAGAGATGCAAGGAACCAGCGGGGGAAAGGGAAAGGTCAGCTAAGGTTGCTACCACCATGGTCGAACCAGAGCAAATGGCAAACAAGACCAGATCCCTGCAGAGCAGCATGAGGGAAAAACAACGTGTGTGTTGCAAATGTTACACTGTGCAAATGTTACACTGTGTCCCCTTTCTCCTCTTAGGAGAAGGATGTAAGAAACAACACCTATTTTGTACAAAAGTGCACTATGGAAACCATAAAACAGAAAGAGTAATTGATGCAGGTTGCACTTTGCACATCCATCTCCTTGTCGGCATACCAGAGTATATAGATTATCCCTACTATCACAGATGAGCAGCACCAGACACAGCGGGCTGAGATGCTGTTTTATTACCAGCCCCCTGTGGTGAGAAAAGACATCAGGCTTGAGCTCCCATGTGTTCTCCTGGGGAGCCTGCAGAGCCAGCAGTGTGTACCTCCAGTGCTTTCTCTTAATAGGTAGGACATTCACTTGGTCTTGTCATAGATAACAAGCAGTTTTGACATCTTGCAGGAGATGTGCCTTGGGAGTGGTAGCCCTATGAGTCCCACACTGCTACTTTTTCAATCAGTTTCTTCATGTCATACCAATGGCCAGCTGTTTGGCTGCTCCCATCAGTGAATTTGCTCTACAAACAGTAGTTCTGCGAAGAAATCACTCCAGCAATGGAGACTGGGATGGTCAGCGGCTTATAGCTGTGTGTACTGAAGAGACAGCAGTGGAGACAGAGGTGTCAATACCTCAGTTCGTAGAGCAGACGCTGCAGTGATAGAGTACACTGTAGATACTTGCAGAGTGGGGCTGAGGTGAGGATAACTCTCTGTAAAGGATACTTACTGGATTCAAGAACAAGTGTGGCAGATTCTCATGCCTACACATAGGCTTTACTGTAGTGGCAACTTTCCACCTGCTTATGTTGCTCCTTGCCTTGGCTGTATGGCACAACTACCAGCAGTGGGCACACACCCACCTTCCAATGTGAGATCAGCAGGTGGAGCCTGTAATAAGTGCAAAATATCTTCCACAACTGAGGCCAGCTGTGCTAGCAACATGCCCAGTAGGATCACTGGACCACTACCTAGTGGAAAAAATTACTCCCTCACCAGTGCTCAGACACTCTCAAGAGGCACTCCGAAGCTGCACAGATGACTGCAGGCCCTTGATGCGATTTTTTTCCCTAGTACTCAACAAGCAGATGGAGGTTTGTGACCGGTTTCTCCCAGCCAAACTTCCTGCAGAGGGATGACTAGTTTCCAGAGTGTTAAACAGACATGTGACCATGGCAAAATGCCAGATGGCTGGAAAGAGCCTTGGAGCAGCGTGCACAATGCAGGTCTAGCCTTGGCTGCCAGCATCATGTCCCATATGTATGAGCTCCCAGATAGGAAGGTCTGGCTGCAAACTGGGAGTGTGACACAGGGATATTACATAGCACAATTTTTAGTGATACAATCATAGATTGGGCCAGAATGAACAACACTTTTTCCTTCTCTTGCTTCCTTCACTGTGCAAAGGGATCTGCTTCAAAAGCTCTTTTAGTGATGGTGTAGATGGAAAAAGCTGTTTCAAAGCAGGACACCTAACAGGAAATACAATTTTTGCTTCAGCAGATATAATGTTTGTATCATTCTCACAACAGATGACTTCAGGGAATGATGAAACACTGAGCTGTAGGTGGGTACTGCAGTTTGTGATACATAATCAACCAAGGTTAGTGGTAGGGAAGCTGATGTTTGCTGTTGTAAGGGCTACAAGGTTACAAGTCTATCTCAAAAGCTTCATGCAATGGATTTACAGTTACTCAGTCCCCAGGAGCATTCACAACAGCAAAGCCTCTAAGCATCCTGGCTCTTTGCTCTCACTTGTAATCAGTGTACAGCCAGGGGATTTGTGTCTGCATTTGATTCATGGTGCAGCCATTACCGATGCTTGTAATCAGGAGCAGAACACAAGTGGAAAGGAAAACATGGAAACAAAGAAAAAAGCCTCCATGTGACATCACTCTCTGCAAACCAGCAACTCCAGCCGATTTCATGACCTCTTTATGCTGATCTAACTCTGGGCTGCCAGAGAAACAATCAACCCTAAACCTTCCTGCCTACCCTGTCATGAACTGGACCAGGGAATTCAAATGCTATTTATTGTCCTTTAATCAGGTTCCTTTTCATTTGAATCAGCCACCTGAGTGGCATATTGCTCAGCCTGCCCAAGCACTGGAGGCAGCAGGAAAGCACAGGCAGTGGCAGCAATTCACAGTGAGATTAGCTTTTAAAAGCTGTTGTTTTACATCAACAGCCTCAAAGCACACCAGCCTTAACCTGCCTCAATATCTCACATACACACACTGACAGAGTCACAGAAAGCACAGCCAGGTTCAGAGGTATTGAAATGTATATGCCACATCAGTTACACACAAATCAGTGATCTGCCCAGAATGATTTCATTTACACCTTAGTCGGTGAGATGCTTATGCGAGGCATGAAATGAAGCTAGAACTTTGCAGACTCTTAATGAGAGTATGCATGAGACAAACAGCTGGCAGACAAGCTACAACTACCAAAATACTCCGAACAAACCAACTACAAAAGACAGTTGTCTATTTATTTTAAAAAAGAATTTTGTTGCTGTTTTTATTTTCAAGAAATATATATGCTTGGAATAAACCAGAAGCTTTTTTATCCCCGTTGATGTCTAAATGGCAATTCTCAAATGCAAATTTCAGTCATGTGACAGCATTTAATCTGTATCAACAGAGCACTCTGATCCCTGAATGGGATTTTGGCACTCTAGTCCATTAAGTCATATTTACATTCTGGAGGTGGAGACTGGTTCAGAGGAAGCCTGAGGATTTGAACAAGGTGGGAACACTTATCGCTTTATCACATGGAATGGTGCTTAGTCCTTCTGGGAAGTTCAAGTCTCTGTGTGGTTAACAGCTGTGCCAGTCCATTCATCAACATCATAAATATGGTCAGAGACATCACCAGCACATAGTGGCTAATGCTGCAAGGAGGAGACAGATAAAAAAAGTGAGAGAAAAATACAAATTTGCAGAGTTAAAAAAAAAAAAATCCTGACATAAACAACCCTCTGAATATTTTTTTTTCATTTTAACTAGGCCTAATTATTGACCTAGGATGTCATTATATATGCTGTTCCTAGAAGACAAGTATTAGAGCAGCACTATCATGTCAAAACCAAAGTCTGTGACAAAATAAAATGGTGGGGACACCAGAAACCACAACTGAGCATATATCAAGTGAGTAAGAGGTGCCAGGCTTCCTTTTTATTCAAGTAATTCAAGTTATGTGACTGAAACAATTGCAAAACTTCCATTTGCTGTCAACTATAACACAGAATCTAGGGAGAACTTGCCATCAGGTAGACATTCCTTGTTAGTAAGACAACTCAGATATTTATGATAGCTGAACTGCAATTTTCTAGAGAAAAACTATTCCAGTGACAAGAAGCTGTAAGAAAAACAAACAAACAAACAAAACAACCAAAAAACCCCACAACACCCCCCCACACACTACTTTTTCACTCACCATTCTGAAAACTGTAGAATTCTCTGCTGTGGTAATACATGTTTCCAAAGAGATTAAAGAGGTGAGTTCAAGAGTGGCTAATAAACACAACATGAAAATGCAGCTTCTGGGTTAGAAAACCCTAAAGTCACTAATGATTAAAAGTCTAATGAGCAAAGAGCTTATTCTCCACTCGCTCAAATTCTGTTAGCTGATATTCCCTAGTGTTACAGATGGGCTATTCAGGGTCAGACTGAGATTTGACCTAGGATATTCAGCATTCTATGTTCAATGGGTTCAAGGCCCATTTGGAAATAAATCTGGCTAAGGATGTCAAGAATAACAAGAAGGGCTTCTTCAAAGACACCAATAACAAAAGGAAAACTATGAAAACTGTGAATCTGCTACTGAATGGAACAGAGACCCTTGCAACAGAGGTTGCAGAGAAGGCTGAGATACTGAACGTTTTCCTTGTTTCAGTCTTCACTGCCAAGGCTAGCTCTTGGGAATCCCTGACTCAGGAGATCAGGGAGCAGGTCTGCAGAAAGGCAGACTTTCCCTTGGTGTGGGAGCATTGGGTTAGAGACTATTTTAAAATCTGACATCCACAAGTCCATGAGTCCTGATGGGATGCATCCACAAGTGCTGAAGGAATTGAAGACAGTGCCAGGCTACTCTCAATCACTTTTGAAAGCTCATGGTAAAGGTGAGCAATTGGAAAGGTGTCAGAAGACCGAAAGAAAGCCAAAGTCACCCCAGTCTTCAAAAATGGCAAGAAGGAGGACCAGAGAGCTACAGACCAGTCAGCCTCGCCTCCATTCCTGACAGAGGATGGAATGGCTCAACCTGGAGGTCATCTCTAAGCATGTAGAAGACAAGAAGGTGATCAGGTATAGTCAGCATGGATTCACCAAAGGGAAATCATGATTAACCAACCTGATTGCCTTCTATGATGGGATACTAGCTGGAGACAGATGAGGAGAGAGCGGTGGATACAATCTACCTGGACTTCAAGGCTTTTGACACTGTCTCCCTTGATATCCTCAAAGGCAAATTCAGGAAGTGCATACAGGATGAGTGGACAGTGAAGTGGATTGAGAACTGGTTGAAGAGCTGATCCCTGAGGGTTGCAATCAATAGCACAGGGTCTAGTAGGAGGCTGTCACTAGTGGTGTCCCCCAAGGTTCAATACTGGGCCCAGTATTGTTTAACTTATTCACCAATGACTTGGATGACAGGGCAGATGCTTCTTCAACAAAGATGTCAAGAGGATGAAGGCAGGCTCTTCTCCATGGTGCCAAGCAACAGAAGAAGAAGCAACAGGCAAAAACTAGAACACAGGAAGTTCCACCTGAATATGAGGAAGAACTTTTTTATTGTGCAGGTGACTGAGAGCTGGAACAGGCTGCCCAGAGGAGTTTTGGAGTCTCCTTCCCTGGAGATACTCAAAAGTCATCTGGACACAATCCTGAGTAACGTGCTCTGGGGGATCATGCTTGACCAGGGAGGTTGGACTAGATGACCTCCAGTGGTACCTTCCCACCTCAACCATTCTGTGATTCTGTAACATCTCAATCAAGCTGCTGTTAATGTAAACCACTAGTCATTAAGAAACCAGAATTTTTTCAAAGCCAGTGACATGCCAGGCTAGAGCTGCAGATGAAACACCTCTGCACTTGACTTTATCATGCATCCAGTGCTGCTTTGTTTTTTTCTGGGACTAATGAAGATACTGGCATTCCGACATGAGAGATACTCATACCTCCTGATGCACTTATACCCACAATTTCAAAGTAGATGGCTCTTTAGGACAAGCAGAGTAACTTCAGACTCAATGAAGTCTGAGTTTAGTCACAAAAAAGGATTGCAAGGAACACTTGCTGGCTTAATGATCTGGAATTTCTGCCACAGGACTCATTCAGTCTGAGAGTTTAGCCACAGAAGAGCAGTAAAGCTCATAATGCCGATGCTATCAATCCTCACAACCCTGAGACTGTAGCAACTCTGGCACTAGCCTAGCACAATTTAGCTCTGTGAAGTGGAGAAGCACCAGCTCTTAACAAAGAGGGGGCCACTAACCACTGCGAGAGAGTAAAAGTAATCCAAAAAGTTCACTAATGAGCACAAGCTCTTCTACAGCCAGAGTACCAGTAACTAAAGGACCAAAGTGTATGGAGAACACAAAACCAGACTTCACCGATGCTATAGGATTTTTCCGTTTCAGTTAAGTATGACTAAACCTTCTCACAAATACCTTGCTAAAAATACATAATTTTAAGAAACCAATCAGAAAAATCCACTGGCATAAATGGGCTCAGACCTCAATGAGCACAATCCACCTCAAAAGCTTGCATCCATGTAAACTCCCACCTGCATGCAGCACAACTGAAAATATTCAGTAATGTGAACAACTCGAGGTTTAACATATCAGACAGGAAACATCTTTCCTACAAGCATCTGCTTCTTGCAATTCTAGCTAAGCAGAGCAGCATGTCTATGAGAGCCAAGTTCCTGTCCCGTTTCTGTGGGGAAGGTGTAAGAAGACACAGCAAGATCATGCATGAAGTCAGGCAGGGAGCCTACTGTCACCTGGGCAGTGCACTTCAGACTTTGTAGTACACAGCACATCTACAACAAGATAACGCAACTCCCTCAAGAGTTGCCCTTGCAAGACCATCTGCATGTGTTACAGCTTCAGTTTCAGCTCTCCATGGGAAAGGAGATGTTGACAGCTGAAATTCAAACCCTTGTTGCAGTTACCTTCATGCTTCATGTGCCCTTGGGGACTCTACAAGCAGCACAGGTACATGAGTTTGCATAGCTCTTAAAGGAACAGCTACTCCAATAAATAGCTGGACAGCTTAATATCTCATGCATTACTGGTAACACCTCAGCCTTCCTTCTCACCTGGCTCCAGAATTCTAGTTTTTCATGTAAGCAGCAAGGCCGCATTCCTTCTAACTTTCAAAGAAAGCTTGAATGAGAAATCTGAAGGCCCTGCCTTTTTTCCTACAGATACCCCAAGACAGCCACCAGAGGACCATGGTTGGCATCAGCATGGTCCCTAGACAGGCATCTGTCAAGACCCTAGACAGGTCCTGTCTGACCCAAAAGGAGCTCTTTCAGATGTGCTTATCAGTGATTTGGGGGGGCATAGACACGGACTTTCTCAAAGGTAAACGTCTCCACAAACTCTTCTTAGCTACCTGTCAGTTAAAGTACTGGGTACCTTTGCAAAGAAGAGTGTGTTGCACACACTTCTCCCTTGCTATTCAGCAAAAGGCTGAATAGTTATGCTTCTTTATTAAGATATCAGTCGTTCAGAGTAAATATATATATATGCCATAGAGCATAATTAAAAACAATTTCAATCTACTTGTCATGTAATTACAAATAGTCAGCATCTCTGGGGTTATCAGCAACTGGTACTGTGGTGCCTGTGGGCAGTTCTGTCTGGTGAATTACATTTTAGGTTGAGGTAATGCTGTAGGTAAACAAACAAAGCAAGACTCTTACGAGTATATGCCAAACAGCAGTGTCAAAATCCTGATCCCTATACAATTCAGAACTGCATCCTTGACTGGATCTGTAGTTACAGCGAAGAAGGTAATTCTCAAAAGAAGCTTTCTGCATCAGAAATCAAAGCTGAGCCAATGAGAAAAGGGAGCGAGATTCTAGGCTCCAGGCAAGTTAGATCCATGTGGAAGAAGAAGAAACATAAACAGATATAAGAGAATAGCAAAATGGGGCACAGTGAGGCAACACTTGTAAATGAGATGGTAGAGGTAGCAGGTGTAGGCGATCATGGATGATCTATGGTAAGGTCATGCTGTTCAATGGAAAGGTGAGTGCCCTACATATGGATCAATGTCAACAGGTGAAGCTAGTGGTAGGAAAATTCTTTATCAGGGAGGAAGACACCTGTTTCGGTGGCAAGGAACCACAAGGAGAACACATGAGGTACTACCATCTCCTGGCTTTTTTTGTGACAGTGCATATTGGTGAGAAGTACTAATCAAAGACAAGAAGAGCCTAGATAGCCAAAATTGAGAGGGGTTGGGGGGCCAGAATCAATCTTGTTCCAAAACTTGGCTTTCTCTCAAGACAGGCTAATTCCTAAGATGACACACCTGATTAGAAGCTGGAAAGACAAGAAGATGGAGTAAGTTACCATAGCACTTAAAAAACTAGAAACAAAACAAGTAAAACAAAAACCACTTCTGCAAGAAGTGAAGAACACTCTCCAGAAGAGTCAAAAAATATTATTTCTCCATGACATGCTATTTTGAACGGTGGGACTGTTCCCAAGCACACCCTGCAACTCTAGATTTGGATTCTGAATTTTAAGTCTCTTGCATTTACAGCCAGGATTCCACACCCTCTCTCCTCTGTTTCACAAAAAACAAATCACAAAGCACATAATTTTTGTTTTAATAGTCAGACCAAGAAACCCCAGCACCCCAACCCTGAAATCAATTCCATTATCCCTAAAACCTACAAACCAGTCTTGTACTTAATCTATGCCCCCGGACCTTCAAGACTGCAGAAGAACAGTTAAGATCATAATTTTATCTTCCAGCAACTGTTATAAAAAGAGGGAGCAGTACAGTACGTGTCTACATAAAGCTATATAATAGTCATATAAAGAACCTTTAAGGTTTATCTTGACTATCAGATTGTAAAGCTATTTACAAATTGCATAAACTGTAAAGACATAGTAGGCTCTAAAGGCTATTTCTCTCTCTCTCTCTGGAGATCTACAGATAGAGACAGATAAATATACCTTTTAAGCCGCAGAGAAATTATTTTAGTGACATTGCATATGATGCAATTTAGGTTACCTCGAGATATAGAGGTAAAGGGTAGCAGGCCTCAGAAGCTTGCATAAGCCATTGCTTTGAGTTCCACATTCACCACAAGATTATTATCCTGTTATTACATCAAAACAATGAAAAGCACTCTCTGAAAGACAGGTTCACACTGATTTTGGCACGGCCATTAAGAAAAGAGGCTTTAAAAATTTCTAAGAAGCCATAAATATTTATGGTAATTGATAATGTACTGCAAGGAGGGAATCAGTTGATAACTTGCTGAATGTGGTAATACAGGACTGTATGTTGGATCTGTTGTTGCTCAGTATTTCATTAACGAACTGTAAGAATGGAAAAGGTAGAAATTTGCTTCCATTCCAAGACAATACTTAAGTGGCATGGTGAATTCAATCAGGAGAATAAAGACATCAGATTGTTAACACAAATATGAGGCATAGTAAAATGACATGTCATGTAGTTAAGACATGGTAGAACGAGACACAGAAGTCAGGAGTTAGGGGTGAAATGTTTAAAAAAAAAGAAATGTCAGTTCAGTAAACAAACCTGACTTGCAAACAATGAGATCCACTAGGAAACAAACCATCAGCTTAAAAAAAGGAGTGAAGGTCTTTTTATCACAAGGGATTTAAAGCCAGCCCTTCCAAATGAAACGGGTATTGGAAAAGACAAGTATTGCTTAATGAGAGTCTCCTACTGAACTTGCATATTCTTGGTAAGAGAGAGGAAATACAAAAGTTTTAAAGTGTGGTAATTAGAAAATCCATAGAAAGTCATGACCACAAAAAAGAATGAGTATGGAAACATACATCAGAAGCTTTACAAACATGGCACATATAGCACTGGACTCTAACAGACTTTGGAGGAATGAATAGCCACTGGGCAATTACATTGCTGCTTTTCCACCTGTGATTTCAGTGATGTGGTAACCAGTAATGAAACACAAATCCAGATATTTTTGCTCACACACAGTTCGTATCAGTGTCACAAAACAAACAAAGCCCCCCCCCCAAAAAAAAAGAAAACATAAGAGCAGGTGTCCCTAAGAGTGCTCCTATTCTTTGTTCTGAGAAATCCTATACAGGTTTTGTTCAGATACAAACAGTTGGGGGTGGAAAAAAAAAAAAAAGAACCATCATTTCCTTAACTGACTCAGCCTTCTCAGGAAAATTTTGGCAACATGTAAAATTTCAACTAAGACAGGATATTTTCAGACCTTGCTGTCAAAGCAGCAACAGACAACACTGCAGAGAATTGTCACAGAGTTGTCACTGCACTTGCAACAGGAGGACAGGAAAAAGCCACGTTAGTATCTCACTCCCACTGTTTTTGGGAATTGCCCAAACCCCCGCAAAGCTCATCTTCCCTTTCAGGAATAAATAAAAAAAAGCTTCTGCTGTTGCTTGCTAATTTTGCCAAGGCCTGAGGATCACACATTAGAAATCTGCTCAGAGGAAAAAGTTCTGGTGCGAAAATAATGCTCATGCTATATAAAAGAAGGACCATTTCAGCACTGTCCCTATGGCTTCACCTCTTTTCTTATGCAATCTCATTATTTTTATCTTATGTGCCTGTACACACATACATACAAAACAAATATAAAGAGACTACAATAAAATAACATAGGTGGTGGAGTCAAGCACTCAAAAGTGAAGTAATGACAGAGACTGCCTGAACATTATGCATTGTCACGTTAAAAATTAATCACAAATTACTCTTCTGAAAGGCCTTTTTCAGCGCTTTCTTCAGTGATCAAAACACACACGCGGAGAGGCAGAATTATAGTGGTGCATAACGAACTCTCCTAAAGTCTTCAGAATAAGGCAAACTTCCAGCTGAAATGGATCAAACAATGCATCACTGCTGTAAAGCTCTACACTATGAAGGCCATGTATCAGAGAGGAAGCTTTTGAGTACGTGTAACAATTTATATTTTTGCTGCTAACTCCTACTTAGCAAGCTTCTTACCTAGCAGAACAGAAATTTTCTGAGGTCTTTAATATCCTTATTAATCTGCATAAGAATTAAAACCAAGGGATGAGGCCATCTGATTTACCATAAACTGACCAAAGCAAGGAAGTGTGATGTTAAAGCATCATTTTCACTATTTGATCCAACTGTATCTCTGCCTCCTAGGAACCTTCAAAAGGTAGCTATAAGCAGGAATTGGAACTTGAAAGAAAACAGGTAGAATGTGTGTGCACATGTGTGTGTCCATGCATGCACCTGGTGCTGGGAATGTGGGGGCTCAGCAAAGTAGACTAAACAGAATATTAACAATGGGTCACTATTCAACTTCTGTTTAAATAACAGTGTCAAGTGACCAGATTGGCTGGATTAGTAACAACGCATTCCCCGCTAAGCTTATTATGGCATATCATCTATTTCCACAACTCAGAGAAGGTAAATCTGAAATGTGTATTCCTGGTGTTTATTATTTGTGGACTATTCATAAACAAGACTCCACAGTTGAAAACCTGCCCCACGATGCTGTGGAGGCCAATATGACTCATAATGCAAAACAAATTCTGTTACTTTACCTGTGATTTCTATGTTTAAATGCTGAAGTTAAACTTTTCCCTGAGCAGAGGGAGGATAAATGCATGGGCCTTGGTAGCCACCAACATATTTACACAAGGTTCATGAATTCACAGTGCACTGTATAAGGAGGCTTAACTAGACACAAGACAATTAACAACTTTGATAAATTGTTATTTTAACAGTGATTACAACTAATTACAATGAAAAACAGTAGTTATAATATTTTTTGTGTAATTACTCTTAGCAATGAAACAAATCCTACTAACTGTATTTCTTGCCATGTTACATTCATTACTTTGTGTTGCTCTGGCACAGATTTTCAGACACAAGTTTTAGCTTGAGATATGTATACATACGCGTGCACATGTGTTTCAAGTATGTGAAACATCCCTGAATCATTAGATTAAGGAGAATAATTGGAAAAAATTACAAGAGTATTATGAGTAGATAAACAACAATATGAACCTATGAGCCTTTAAAATGCACTGGAGGCAAAAAAGGTACTGTACCTTGTTCCAATATCCAGCCAGCTTCCATAATCTTTCACCAAAAAGAAAAAATGCTAAGAAATAAAATAACTTTGATTAGTACATCAACACTGCACAATTCAAAACAGAAAATTAAATCCCAATGTTTAAGGCCGTTTACTCCAAATTTCTAATTCTTCAAGTAAAATAAGGGCAAAATATTTCCAGGAATGCTCATTTGGACCATAGTGAAGAATAATCTAGGAACAAGAAATAGATTTAACATGCTATCAAACAAAAACATCTAAAGAAGCAATAAGTTCTGTCTAGATGGGCTTGTAAGAAACAGTAATACCAGAACTTTTTCAATAAGAAAAGCCAAGCCACCTTATTGTTTGAAATAACAAGATCTCAAAGGTATAGTGTCTAAAAGTTTTCATGAAATTTAAACACAAATTTCTTCAGGCAACTCTGGCAGTTCCACACTTGTAAAGTGGGAATAATGTTGGGAGAAGACAGTACTTGTCTATTAGTGACTTCCCTTAATTCTAGCTGGTGGCCACATTGATTCAAGATCACATACCCCGTTCTCTTTTTTTTTGTCCTGCAACTTCCTCTCTTCTTTATACACACAGAGCTCCTGCATATCAAACCTCTTCAGTAATATGTGTTTGGTTGCCTTTTTTTTTTTTTGTATACCAAGTACATACTTGTTAATTGTTTTAAAATACTTAAACCGAAATAGAAGAATATGTGAGATGTAAGACCTGGATATACTGGGCTTGCTACACACCAGTAAATACCTGCAGGCTTCTCTTGGTTTAGTTATACTGATTTTATTAGTGAAATGTTATGAATGTGGTTTAATGGTATTTTAATCCTTTTCCTGTGGGAATTATCCAAAATCAGATTAGTCATACAGACTTATTTGAAACTAGATATAACTATACCTTCTTCATTTCTCACTCTACAGACAAATTAGTAATTATTGGATTTTTACTCACTGTTTTTCCTATCAGGTGATATTCACAGATCTCACTGCACTAGGATATAAGATTAGGAAAGCTCACTCCAAGGCACAAAATGAAAACAGCGTGTATGAAGTGACAACACCAGCTATACCTGCTGGTTTGAAAAGGTTTCTGTTTACTTTGTGATAGCTAGTGGCACTCTTGTTGAGATGAAGACAGTTTGAGTGGACAATGAAAGCATACTTTTAATCTGCAAAAATTATGTTGGGGTATTGTTCAGCTTTGTGTTGTTTTAGCTAGCTTGGTTTGCAGATGCAAGCTTTCTGAAGATAGCATTTCCTAACAAAGGGCACCAAGTGTCTTTTCGGATGTTGCTGATCTCTTGGATTCTGACAATTTTAACAGAGTTGGTGGGTAATGCATTTCTCTTTTTCAAGGGAAGCTGGTGTGGGTAAAAGGTTGCAAATTCCTGAAAAATTAACTAAACCATGCCCACAGCTAAAACTGATATTCTTATTTAAATTTTTCCTAGGAATTTGATTGTAAAGTATATGAAAAACTCAGAATGGTAACTTATTACTTCATTTTTGTCTCCTATTATTATGAGAACACTGCTTCTTCAGATGCATTAATTACACGAAATTTGAAGAGCAGTGATTGGAAGAGTTTTATCTCTAAGTTATGCTAGGATTTCAATCCAATTCTCTGCCCTAGTTACAGGAACTTTGAAGTCTGAAACAAATTCAGATCTCTCTTGACGGAATTAGGAGAACCCTCTGCTTCTTGATCTTATTGGAACAGAATGTGCAACAACAACTTACCAAAGCCATAATGTCTGAAATCACAAGAACAATGAGGAAAAGGCTGCAAACAAAAAAACAAAAACAAAATCAGACCACTGATTTTTATTTATGGCCACGGATGTTAAAAAAGCTTATTAAAACCCCCACAAAGAAAGTAAAGTAAGATAGGATTTCTTGCACTTGCCTTTCAAACACTTGGGTATATTTCAAAGTATTAGAGAACAGCTAAAATACATGACTAGGACATGTGGCATTTATAATTCCACCCTGCCTGGAAAAGGCAGTTTAAGTTAACAGTATCAATTTTGCAACAAAGAAGCCTAACTTGAGTAATTTTTGGAGAAAAGAGCATCTTTACAAACAGCACCTGCCTATTCCTCATGCAAGAAGCTCTATGCTAGTTAGACCAAATACAGCTGATTTAGAAGCTTCACAGCGTACCCAAGAGTGAGCAAAGCTGTTTGGCACAGGCAGACAGACACCTGAGTTGATCAGTCCCACCCTGACAACCACCCTGCTGGGAAAGAGGCTGCTAAAGGAGGAACTTTGCGCCCTTCCAGATCTCCGGGTGCCCATAAGCTGCTCTGGGAACACCCAGCATTTTGGTGGCATGCTCCCAAACCCGTGGGCCTCTCTGTCAGGTGGCAGGTTACTCCCAGGAAGTAGGCTGTGGCCAGCAAAACAAACCAGAAGGGAGGACGCAGAGCTAGTTTTTCCCCCCCATTAACCTAATCTTCTTTTCATTAAACTATGTAAATCGTAAATTACGTGAAAGCAATTGCTGTAACTGGTTAAAACTGGTTTCTAAGTTAATGGCACTGAAACAATGTTGCAAACAGCTGACCCATTAACAAAAAACCCCTTTAAATAGAATACAGATAATTTATCAGTACTACCCTCATAAAACCACAAAGGGTTTTTTCAGGAAAACATCCTGCTGCAGCGTTGCATGAGCATGTACTGGGGGGACACCCATACCAATGCCTCCAGATGAGGAAGTTTCTGATACTGCCTGTGTCAGTTGTGCTTCATTAGTAAATCAGGATGCAACAAACCAGCTGCATTCTCGGACACACAGAAAGGCTTCTCTTCCCCTACCTACAGCTCAGATAGGATGTTGCAATCTTACAGTGCCTAGGAGGCACTCAGCTAGAGGGCTATTTTCACAGGCAAGCTCCAAGAACATACTGGGACAGAACATTCCCCAAAGAAAGGAAATTAATCTGTAAACAGGGCGTTTAGGAGCAATTTGTCCAAATAATAAAAATCTACTTTTTGCCTTTCTGAACTACAGGAAGCCTTTCACAACAGAAGGACAATGCTAATTTCAGGGCATGTTTATACACTGCAAAGACAAGATTGTTCCCTGTGATGGCTTAATTTATCTAGCAGGGGCAGCAAGAGCAATAAAGAGTGCAGCACAGACTTCAGGATGCACTGACAATCAGAGCACAACCCCTCCAGGGATCCTGGGCATGTCTTGCGGTTTCTCTGCTTGTTCCCAGGCTGGTGCTGTGGCAGTATCACTGCTATTGTTACCTGAGCACAGCTAAATGAAGCTGGCACAAACAGCAGACAGAGTAACAACCACAGCCTCATAAAGCAGCACAGACATACTCATGTCCTCTGTTTTACGAAGCTGGTATTATTTCCCCTCTCACACACACAGATTAACATTCCATAAAAGTTTGCAATATCACCAGCACTGCCAAGGCAAGCATTCACAAGTTAGGAAATGCTGACCTTTATGCTGCTCAAGCCCTAGAAATGGAAATCACTAGCTGGCTGTCTGAGCAACCCCAGTCCCTTTTGTATAAACCTTACTGATGAGGATGAATACCCTTCCTTGGGGGTCCAAGGATAGCCCAAGTACAGTGCACACACAGAGCAAGTAAAAGGGATGGTGAACCTCATGCTGCCACTCCCACAAGAAGTCAGATTTCAAACTACCCCATTTCTCATTAATACAGAGTAGTGTTGTACAAAGGAGACAACAGACAAGGCCCAGGCAGGATGAAAACAAACATAAAGGCAGAGAGCATCACAGTACGTGAGAGCAGCTTTCTCCTGCTCAGCTGAGCAATATGAAGGAGAAAGTCCCTGTGGTCCTTCTGCCACTGACAGCAGGACTTTTAGTCAGTCCCACACAACATCACATGGTGACAAGCTGAAAATCACATGGCTGACAGAGACCTCCTCCACCTCAGCACTATCCATAATATCACATGATGAAGAGAGGATTCAGTCATGTGCACTGGGTCCACTGAAAGGGGTAAAGAGGGCTAACACAGAAAATAAAAATCTAGATAGCGAAAAGCATGATGATATTTCAAGTCTGGATACAGCCCTCTGTGAGGCTGGGCACCCATCTCACATGGTCTCTGCAAAGTCTTTAGAGATGAGGAAAGGACTGGTAGCCATCTGGTCCTATCGCAAAAAATATGTAATCCTGAACACATCTCGGAAGCACTGAGGTGCAATGAAAGGACATCTGGCCTTTTTTTTTTTTGCTTTTTCTTAAATGCTATTTGTGGTGAGGTCAGTGCTACAAATCTATAAAGTGGTTACTTTATAAATGGGCTATTTAAAAAATATTATACTATAGGCAGAGATGCAATATAAAATAAAAATTAGACTTTAAATTCTGCTCATTTTTTTACATTATGGAGGAAAAAGTGCTCTTTCTGTGTATTGTCAACAAAGAATATTAAATATCTGATTGTTTCAGACAGGGTGAACACTTCCATTTATACTCATTTATTACTAAGAAAACAACTCCTGAGCTTGCAAAAATCACTAAACAAAACCCCAAACCATAATAACAAATAAAAGTAACAATGTGATCTAATAGTTTTTGGGGGTTTTAAATTCAGATTGAGATTTGACAGTCCTGAATTCTTATAAAATAGATTTGAAACACTTACTAATGCAGAAATATAGCACTTACTGTACCTTTTAGAAGACAGCTGTGTTGTGACTTGAACAGCTTCGAAAGCACATGACACCAGAACAAATGGGATTACAACCTGTTTAAAACACAAGCAACATGTTGGCTTATAGTAATATTTACAAAACAACCCGGGCAGGTTGTGGAAATATTTTCCTGCTTTTCAAATTATCACAGAATGTCTATGTTATGAAAATAAAATATAGGCTAGACAGGGTAGAAAATAATTTTGCAGGAAACACTTCCACTAAATGAAAAACTACAACTAAAAAACATTAATGATCCTCACTTCATTTATCCATGATAAATACTGCAACAAGACTAGAAGTCACAACTATTTAGATTCAGTATCTCATGTGACAGAGCTCCAAGTGTAATAGGACAATCTCATCTCAACCACAAAAAAGTCTAAATATAGAATGCATTCAGTAAGACAAGGATCACACTGCCCCTCCAAAGCCAAGTCAAACGAATGTAAATGGTTCAGTAAATTAAGAAAAAAACAAACAAGTTAGAAACATGAACAGTGCCTTTTGCTCTTTACAAAGCTGACTTGCAATCCTTAAGTTAGCAATGTCAACAGATTGCTAAAACCTGATTTCTTGCATCCAGAAGGTTTGCATTATTTGTGTCCTCCCATATAACATGCAGTATACCTGTAATTTAAGTCTGCTTTCTCCAGGACAGAAGCAGCAGAAAGGCAGAGGCAGGAAATACTGCTTATTTTAGCAATAAACCAAAAAGTCAGTGTCTCCCTTCAGCCCTCTGGCAGACTCTTTACTCAAATGCTAACAAAGGACTCCCACACCTTGCCTGCAAACAAGAAGTGCATGCAATCCAATCTTTGTCAGACTATTTAAAAATATAAAAAATAATATCCATTGTAAAATGACAACCTAATCAGTAGAACATTCAAAGCCTGTACTTAAAGGTAATATATTTAAAGCTAATAATATATTTATAATCTCAACATTTCTGTAGATATTATGCTAAAGGAAAAGATTATAATTTTTAAAACAAACCAAGTCTTTTCAACATTTGAGATTTCCATTTTGATACGATATACTGACCTAATGCTGTTAAAATATACATCCACACACTTTAGCTTCTCTCTTTTGGGAAATAGAATGCTCTATTTTTAGAAACACTACAAAGGCTGAAACCTTTACACATCAATGAAGCTCAAATATACATACGTGTTTTTGTGAATTGCAAAGTAACAACCATGTACATTATACATTATTTATTCAACAGTTCTTTAAGATAATTTCATTTAGGTAAGATTACTAACCTTCAGTACAAGCAAGCCTCCCATCATGAAGGGACTGAACACAGTCAAGAAACAATAGACAGAAGCAGGATCAAAACTAAAGAAACATGAAAAAGACATTACATATCTTTGAAGTGGCATTTTCCATTAAAAAATAGAGCATTTAGTTACCCTGTAACACACTGGGTGTATATACATTTGTCTTAAACAAGGTTTCCAACTTTCTCTTCTCTTGCTGAAATATTAAATTAGCAGGGACTGCCAGCCTCACTTTTCTTTCTCTACAATTTTTCTCTACTTGTGTTTTTTGAGGTGCCATGCTGTTCGTGAGCAAGCAAGCTCTCTCTTTCATGCTGTCAGTAACTTCTAATGGAATTGAGACAATCTCATAACCAAAAAGCTCAAGCTCTTCAGGAACATGTCACAGAGAGCAGAAGCAAAATAATCACCATTCCACTGAGTGTTGCTTTAACTCTGCTGCCCTGATTTTGCTAAGTAAATTTATATTTAGTACATCAACTGCAGGAAGAATTTTTTGTATCCTGTGTCTCAAATCAATGAATAAAATTTACCTGTTAATAGAAGCTATGTTTCCAGTGCCAAAAAAGGCTGTCACTATGAAGAAAACCTAAATGTATTTAAGGACAATGCACCACAGAAATGGCTACAATAAAATAAAAACATCATTCCCCCTCCTTCATTCCAATTTACTTTCAAAATCTATCAAGAAATTACAAGAAGCTGACCCACTATGACAGCTTTACACTGCACTAAGAAATCCCAAGTATTGTCTAGCTCTACCCTAGATTTCACAAATGATTATGCCAATTTTAAAAGACAGGGACTGCCTGGGTAAGGGTTTAGAGCCTGTCTTGTGGCCTCTGTAAGAAAGCTGCAGCTGGCTTTTTGGGCCCCTACCTGGCAAGATAGGAAATATCTGGACCACAAACCCAACTGTGCATTCAAACACACATGCTTTTGCAGAAAGTAATGACATATGCATGTGTTCTGCACACCAAAAGAGATGGCTTTATTGAAGAACTGACCATGGAAGAGGTAGTTGGCTCTTAAACAAGATTAAAGGTTCCTATGCTATCCTTCCCATGGCTTTGTTGTCCAAAGGTTATGCTGATTCTACCCATTGCAACACAGGACGCCCATTTCTTTCCTTACTTGAGGGAGGGAGGGTGAATCCGGCAATATCTGTATAGCTGGAAGTTTTTTGATAAACCCTATCCTTTTCATCTCGATGCAACACTTACTGCTATATGAGCCCATGAAAGACATTTTTCTACCTCCTGAGCTCATTGGAGCCCATTATAGCTCACACAGCTTCAGCTGAAGGACAGTTTTTAACTGCTTTTTTGCATAAGGCAGAGGGTTAGTCAGTGAGGATGGCCGCTGCTGCCAGGGCTCCCTCTGGTCCTTTCGCTCCTGTTATAGCTCCTGCACTGGATCATTTAAGTCTCTCCATAAACAATTTGCTACCAACTGTTCAGCAGAATTGTTGGGATTCCTCATGCCATATTTTGGAAGGATTAGGTCAGCATAGCTGAAGAAATTATGCTTCCCAAGAGTATCACATAACTTCAAGATTAGTAACACAGCAGTCTAACAGAATAGTACAATTCTGTCAGCTCAGATTTATAAGGACAACAGGTCTGCAATAAAACAAACAAAAAAATACCAGTGGCACATAGGTCTAATAGAAATGCTAAGCATGAGCAATCTGAATCTTCTTCCCCAAGACCAGGCTATACATTCCCTCAGCAAATGCTGACTATTGGGCCCTATATAGGAACCTTGAGATCATCCTAAGACACATGGTTCGCAGGGTCACAGTTGCAGTATGACTGCTCTAGCAGAAAAGGTTTCTCCTCTAATACCTCTATTTCTGAACATTAAACAGCACTTAAATTAAAAAAGTCAGAACATCTTTTGAGTAGGAGTGCATCATATCTGGTCTCTGCAAAGGAGATCTGCACATTGTTTATCTTTTCCGGAGCTGAACAAAATACATTCAAGTGTTTGAAATTAAAGTAGTGCTCACTGGTGGGGCAGTGTGAGGAGCAGAAAAGGCCTTGACTCTGTGTAAGCACTGTATTATCAACAGTGTTCTCTGCACAAATCCAAAACATAGCCTCACACTAGCTATTATGAAGAAAATTAACTTTATCTCAGCCAAAACCAGCACAGCTACATTTAAATGTTAAAGCAGTACTATCCTGGACCTTTAAAAAATACAATGGGATTGCTTGATTTTTGTTTTGGCTAATTTTTAGCATGTGACAGACAGCAATAGCTTTACTAGAAGATTACTTTTTGTTAAAATAGCAAATGAAACTGATTAATTTACTGCAAGATGTCTCTGCTTTGTTCAGGTATACTCTAAAGCAAAGACAAACATCCAACATCTAGCAAACTGTTTAGCTTTCTTTCTTAGCACTAAACTGCCTTCTTAAAGTGGTTTCTGTTATACTTCCTCTGTTGCGGGTTTCCCATGTTCAACAGCATAGTTCCAAAGTCAAACAGTGCGGACTCTGCGTCTGTGATACACTCTCTCAGATTTGGTTATTTGACAAACTGTAAGGTCTGTTTTTGCAAGAACCACTATTGAAACAACTCCCTCAGCAACTACAATAATCCACCTGCACTAGAAACCCCTATGTTCTCGACTGGCTCAGTTTCTCTCCTACATGTCCACTGATCATACTTGATGACAAATAGCTCTCACTTAACTGCAGTCCCACGACGAAAGAGAAAAATTACAATGCTATCAAGTCTGTACAGTATTAAAAAAATATCAGCTGCAGTTTCAGCTACAGCAATGCAAACTAACTATGTTAGTGAATGAACAGCTCTTCCCTCCTAAGCCCATATCACCTCTAACAGCAGAAACCACTTGCAATATAAATAATTCTAGGCCAGATTTTGTGAACATGTTTTACTAAGAGCCTGCAGGAACTTTCTTTCTTATCTCATCTGCTTGGCCATGGCTCATGCCTGCTTCCTAACATTTGCTTCCTAACGCACTGCCATACTCTAAAAATGAGAATAACTTTAATATCACCTTTTTCAACTGATTCGTGAAGGTGAATGAGTTCCCTCTGGTCAAAATGTAATAAAACAAAAGCAAACTGAAAACAGAATTCCTTAGAAGAAAGTTTACCTCAGGTGTAATGGTTATAAGTGGGCAAGGAACCAGATTCCAAAACAGTGCATTTTTAACTACTTGATGAAAAAGCATAATGTACAAGATCATTGCCTTTTGAGCAATACGGGTCAAATCATCTTTACCAGCTTCTGTTTCCAATGAGTACCAGGCTACAGATTTTGATTACAGGTCTTTTTGAAACAAATCCATCTTTTCCCTAGAATGCAGCAACCAGCAAAAGGATACAAAGAAGAAGGACCTCCGGACATCATCTAGGTGGAGCTCTCGAAACTGAGTTATATCCACAGCATAGGCGAAGTCGAAAACAGCAAGCTGGAAAGAGAGCAGAAGAAATCAATACTGAATATCAACTAATGGACTTTGATAGAGCCACCATATTTTTACTGAAATGAATGAGAAGGAAACCTACTTCCCTATCATCTGTTATTAGAGTATTATAATGAGGACTGAAAACCTTTCCCATATTTTCATTATACCCTAATGAATTAATGAATCTGCCAGAAAGACTGTACAAGTGAGATGATCAAATGAACAGTGGAGCTTCCGCTGTTATCTACACTAAAAATGAACTTCTATCCTTTAGACTTATCATCATAAATATTCCTCCTACACACACACACTTCCACTGCTCACATGAGCATGTAGATAAAGACCTACAGAAATAAAAGGTTGCAATTATCCTCATTTGACTTCTTTTGTGAACGAAAATACTAAAATATTCTCGATCTCCTTTACTCAGTTCTCAGCACAATATCATTTGACCTGAAGAGAAGTTATCTTCATGGAATTTAAGAGGTCAGTGAACTGCTTTTCACTAGGGAAAAGAAAAAAATCAAGTAATAGGCATTCAACACGGACAACATTTTAATTAAAAATAATCTCACATCATCAGAGAACTGAGCCAGATTCTCTAATACAAGATTTACTTTGCAGCATACATTAACAGGCTGATGATTTTTTCTAACCTAAAACATGAAGCACGGGGAAGCATTTTTGTTCCTTTCACTTGAAACCAAAAGTTTTAAGTGAATGTTGACATACAGGAAGTGATAACATAAAAAATTACAGCATACCTATGTTCTTTTCATTTACATTTGATTAATAAAGCATTCATCACTGTTTAATACTGTTTTAATAGAATTTTATTTTACAACAAAGAGAACACCAGACCAATATCACAGATGTCTTTTTACAAGATGCAAAAGAGTGGGGTTCAAGAATGGAAGAGAAAGTACATCCCACAGATGCCAAACACCTTTAGTTGCAATCATGGCATCATGCTAAATGTATATTTTTACATTCACATTCCATCTCTATCACTTAAGATGCCACAAAACACACAATCATCATCCTAGCTAAATGTAGCATAAATAAAAAGTGATTCCTGTTTTTATTTCTGATATTCAGCCTTGAGTTGGTAAAACCTGCTCTCTCTCAAATTTCAAAACTGTCTTCCCTGTAAGAGCACTACAAAAACACAGTATGTGTCAGGTTCACTCCGATGACTGACTTGGCTCAGATTTCAATCACAAAATAATCTTCTAATCTCCCTGATTATCATGAGCTGCAAAAGGAAGGAAAGATGCGTAACAACACTTCTCTTTGAGTGACTCTGGCCACTCCCACACATCTGTAACCAGGTTGTCTGTGACCTGCACCAAGGAGGGCTCATTTGGGAGGAGTGGGAGAGAGCTCTGCTGCACACCTATCTGGCTCCAAGGACCCAAACAACTGCAACAAGCACATGGATCTAACCAAAACAATGGTACAGCCACAGTTTGTTAAACCCTTGATCTAACCTAAGAGTTAAGTTGCAGCATGAGCAGCATGGGCTTTGCAAATTGTTGACAATATATTGAGTTTTAAGGTGAAAGAAGTTGCACTGATTACAAAACTCCCTCTCCAAGCAAATCTGAGAAGGTGCTAGTTCCAGGCTAGTCTCCAGCTCCTTGTTTGTCTAAACAGAGAAAAATCTGTTTAGAAAAATCCCTGAACAAAGAGTAGGACAAAGTCAAATGAAGATTTCTATTATTTCTTATGTGTCTTCTCAGAAATCAAATTATTTTTTTTCAGCCTCTCACTCGTGACTCTGCAACCAGAATAAAAAAAGTACAGTCACATTGTACTTACTCTAAAGAGTTACTGTACCTTGTGCTGAATTAGCACTATACTTGATGAACAGAGCTTTGTAGCCTACAAAACATACCACTATGTCTTACTAAGTCAAACTGTCTTCCTGCATTCCTAGAAATGGCTCTGATGTGCAATATTTTCAATAACATAAAGTACAAATCTTCCTTACAAGGTCACATTCCTAGTCCATGAAACAGTTGATAAGGGCTTCCCAAACTTAAAGAAATGCAAAGTTTTGCTGTCTGAAAACCACTCAGAATATTTATTTCATTCTCAAAAGAAAATAAAAAAAGATAAAGCTGTTACTTAACATGATATATCTCTCAAGAGCTCTTACCTTTGGTTTGAGTGAAAGACCATAGCACTGCAGTGCTTCTTGCTCCATATTTATCCACACAAACATCAAACCAAATAGCACCAGTGGAAAAAGAGCTTCATATCTGAAGAGTAACATAATAATCATAGTAAATGCAGTCACTAACAACTAAACATCAAATGCTGACATATTTATTTTCTTTTTTCCTCACATAAAGACTATACCAAGACCTAGTGGTACTCTCTCCCTTCTCTCCCCATTTCTGAGTACCCACAGTTGGTTGGTTGAATTTTAAGGCCATACAGTAATTAAACAGTAAAAGTATGAGAAACAGAGGTTGCTTCAGCTTTGTTGTGTTTTGCACCCATTTTCTTATTTGATGGCTGCCACAACATTGTATGAGCACCCTTTTTAATTCTAACAAAACTGGAATAAAGTTAAAAAGAAGCTGAAGAAAAAGAATCACATTTGACATTCATTTTCTGCAAAATGGAAAATTTTGTAACAAGAGCTACTTGGAACTGAGGGGTTACAGTCCAATTTAGACAGCAACTCTAAATTGCATCTCTTTAGGACCTAATCACACAAACTCATTCTGGTGATCTCAGTTTAGTTCTGAGAGAGGAGAGAGGCATCTGTATGCTAAAAGACAGTGTTCTGTTGAGGAGAGAGGTTGCAAGGAAAGAAGTATCTGTCTACTAAAAAGAGCATTACATTTCACTGAACTGAAATATACCACTATAGCACTATATACCAATCCTTCACAATAGCAGCCCCAAGTCACACTATAACCATGGCCACTAAGCTGTTCTAGCTACACTCTCAATCTCAGAGGAGTACTTCTGGCTCCTACAGCACTCAAATAGCAAAGTATGAGTGCACTTACGTGAGACATTAAAACCCACAGATAACATAGTGGTGTAAATTGTAATCAGATAATATTTAGTTTCTCCTTGCCCTCTACATCTCTGTTGAACTTCATGGTACATCTCAATTTTTTCTTTGAGGATAAAATTGTAATAGTAACACTGACTATGATAATAATACTGACAAGATTGTAAATGTTTTCCTTTTAATTTTTTTCCTCCTTAGACACACACTTGTTTGTCTGAAAATAAGAAAATCATCGCAGTTAATCTTAGTATTTTTCCTGTTGGGCTCCCCACTAGTACAGCTACAAAGCAGTTTCAAGCTGGAACAAAAAATTCTGAATAGATATTTCTGTTTTAATTACCAGAATGACAAGATGTTAAACATGAAGACAACAACAGCTGGGTTGTCAGTAAACAGAAGTACCTACAATCCTCATAATGCCTACAAATTAAATGCCGTCACCTGAGTCAGTGACAACTGGCTGTATGTAACCATGCTCTTCAGCTGGCTTCAATACTTCCACTAACTGCACCTAGAGAGGTGCTGTAATTACCCAGACAACGTTCTGGGTTATCATACATGGTATAAGAGTACCCTGAGGAGAGAAACACTGGATACTTTTGGCACCAAGTACTTTGGCTTTTGTTTTCTTTCTTAAAACTTATTCCAAAATTTTTTGGTCTATTTGGACATTGTAGGAAGACAGCAGAGAACTGTCAGAACTGTCAATGTTTACGTGGTCTGGTGTAGGGCTAAAATACAAAGAGGGCAATTGCCAGCTTCAGAGGGAACAACATTCATGCTTTATCCAGTAGCCACCATAGGCTAAGAAGCTGAGTGTAAGAATGTGTGTGCAGTCAGGAGTAACATTAGGATCAAAATCTTAATGGGGAAGTGGGAGGAAGGGGAGGCAGAAGATAAAAGAAAAAAAGAGATGCTTCAACCAAAATGAGAGTATCCACAGGAGGCAGCTATTGCAAAATGTCTGCTGCAAGATATTTAATTCCACTTAATTTTCCAGTGTAATTAAATCCAGAGGACAAGTGGGAGGGAAAGCGGAAAGAATGGTTCCTATACTCCCCATTAATTATGCTCTTAAGAGCTACCAAGTCTGAAAGGAAAGAAAAGAAAGGGTGGGCTGACATAGTGTTTTCTTCATTTAAAACATCAGAGGAGTTGACTTTTATCCAAAAAGAAGCAAAACCTAGTCTTTATGGGAACAAGCATCCCTTTGAAAAAAAATTATTTCCACAAAAATCTCTCAGAATAAAATTTTCCCTCATTTTGGGACTACCTGTTTCCTGTCCCACATCATTTAAGCCATAACTAGACACCAGTGCTGAGCAGCCAGGAGAGAAGCTATTTCCTTTTGTTTGCAAGCAGAAAAGCACATGTCAAAACAACAAAGGACATAAACTAAACCAGACTTTCTTATTTTACTGCAAGATGGTTTGAATACATATCCTTCTAGCCACTGCTTTGTCTAGTTGAAAGGAATGTCAACAAACTAGTGTTTATAACACAAGCAGGAATGTGGAAGTTCCCCTGAAATTTTATTTAGTAAACTAAACAAGGAGATAAATGGTGAGACTACAGCTGGAAGCAAACGTTACACCTCTAACAGAACTGTGCATGAGATGAAGCAGCTTCACATACAGCCCTGGATTTTATATATAAAACCAATCCAAACAGAGTGAGAATGAAGTACCCTGTGCTGAGGAGCAGGTAGGTGGACATCAGGGAGAGCAATATGCTGAACAGTCGCTGAAAGAGAAACGTGGGGCTCAGTAACAGCAACACTGGGGAAGAAACTGCAACGATAAGAAGAGATCTGTCAGTCACAACATGCAGAACATTTCCTCCTTGGTAGCAAAGTAATATTCTTCAAATCTTGACATTTCATGTACAGAAATTCAATACAGGTCATATATGATCCTCTATTTTCAGAAGTCACTTTAGCTAAAGAAAAAACAATGTTTGGAACACTTCAGATTTATCAAAAGTAATTTTAGTTCTCTCTAATTTTAATTCCCTGTCTTTCTACCTCACAGCCTTTATAATTCTCATGAACTGATATTAATAGGTCCGTAAGAAAATGCAGAAGCATTACCCTAAAAACCAGTCAAACTTGACTGTTTAATACTCCTCTGAGAGCCCCTTACCATGGCCTGAGGACTTCTGGCAGCTTGAAAACTGCACTGACAGAGCCACTGCTCCATTGGATTAGAGTCATAGAAGAGCTTGGGTTGTAAAGGACTTTAAAAATCATCTAGTTCCAACCCCCCATGGGCAGGGACACCTTCCACTAGACCAGGTTGCTCAGAGCCCCATCCAATCTGGCCTTCTATTCTTCGTAATTAGATTAGGAAACCTGCCAAATTCTGAGATGCAACTGAAAATACTGGTAATAAAGATACAGAAACCATCAACTTATTAGCTTCTCTACTTGAAAGTTTTAAAACAGGACTATTTAAAGACCTACAAGGGACATATCTGTCCTGATTCACACCTCTTGCCTTCAACTTATAATGCATTTCTCTAATGCAGATGTGAGGTCTTAAGAGTAGCATGTCACTCCTTAGTGCAGCCCATGGCTCAGCTGCCCAGTCAACACTTGTTAGCAGAGTCCGTGCTGCCCTTAAAGAGACTCCTCTAGCTGGGAAACCTCTGCAGGTCAGAACAGGGACCAACAGTTTGCAGGAGGTGAGGACAATTGGGAAGAGAGGAAATGGGATACTGCAACAGCAAGTAAAGAGGAAGAAAAACAGAGGAAAAGTGGCCAGTGCTTTAAGGAAAGGGAGAAGGAAAAGCATTGCTGTGATTTAATCTTTAAACGTGATCTTTTTTCATATGAAAATTGTATGTTTATAAGGAAGTATGCTGACAAATAACATTCATGTGATTCTTCATTGCAGTATAGTACCCTCACATTATTGAATCATTCAAAGACTTCATCAACAGTAAGCCATAATTAATAACCACTCTAAGGAACAGAATAAAACTATAATATATGGAAAGTGTTCCCTTACTATTATAATCATAGTATACATGAGTATTTACAGTAAACAAATCAATAAAAGAGAAATGAGGCAGTTTCTAAATCCTGTGGGTCAGTATGTTTTATTTCCTGGCTTTCAGCCTTGGCCACTGCCACAATTACAGAATAAGTGACTTCAAGGATGCTCCAGAAGGCCTGACTCAAGGAGGAACTCCAGGGACCTCACTGCAAGTCAGAACAGCCGGAAGTAAATTCAGCATGGCAACTGGCATCTGTGAATGACACTCAACATATCAGATGTGCAACACTCTCTGAGTGCAATCACAGATGAGAACAGATGAGTGGCTGGTAGGTGATAATTAGCCTTTCCCTTCCGTCTCTGATGTGACACATCAGATATTAACCAGAAAAAGACATACAGGTTTTCCACTGATGAAAATTTTAAGATATAATATAAATTTAGAAATATTGCTAATACAAAGATGGTTCTGAAGAACATGGGTAGCAGCTGGATTAACTTTATACCTTACTGTTCTACCTCTGTGTTAGTGGTTAACATACACTACATGAATCATATGGTGTAACAGCTAAAGCCAGTTGGACACAGATCTGCAGAAACCCACCTATCATGAATCATTTGCCTGATTCTCCAAATACCGCTCTTTCTTAAAAATAATTGATTTTAGATCTAAGTTAAAATTTAAACAAAATAAGCTTCATATTAATCAGAACTAATAGCTGGGAAGGGGGCAAAAAGTCTTATTATCATACTGACATGATAATAATATCAGTAGTGTTATGAATAAATACTGACAACTGTGTTTCTGGTTCTATAAATACACAGAGAGTTGCAAAATCAGAGTTCAGTAAGTAACAGTGCTATTCTTCCACAAGTAAGCAAAAAGATGAAGAGGAGTTTGACCACCTGTAATACCATCAACCTTGGAAAAGCTACACTTGACTTTGGTACCTTAATTCTTGGTACCTTAATTTGTGGTACACACTAGGAACAAGGCAGGTGCTAGTTGTTATGGCAATGTCAAGGCACTTCTCTCCAAGAGGAGTGTTGAGGACATGTTGGATGGCTTAGTGTTTTACCTGCTTACTTCTGTGTTTAATTATGGAAAGCAATTTCAGCAAGTACACAAAGCTCCTACCTTGTATATCATATTCAGTTAGAAATATTACTTCCAGTATGAAAGACTTTGCTAAAATATTCAATACTACTGCGGCAGCAAGTAGACTGTTTGGTACCTACAGTTTACTTTACTGTTAAGTTTTATTTTTATCATCACCCACAGCAAAGAGAATTTCTAATATACTTTTTTCTCATAACTCCAAACCTCTCTGACTGAATCATCTCTTAGATGAAAAATGTTCCTTCTTTCATCCTTACACAGGAGAGAAATATAACCTTTATGCTCAATTCCTGCTCCAGTAAGCCAAGCAGGACTTCATTGATTTCATTGACTTTACAACTGCAAGGAATTCATCCACACAGAGATCCCCATTTAGCTTAGCAGGCTACAAAGGGTTAGGAAAGCATGATGGAAAGGAAAATGCTCCAAAGAAAACCACACTACTAAGGAAGCATTGCCCATACACACACTGATCACAATCACTGGAATTAATCTTGAATCCGTTTGCTTGAACAGAAGCAGGATTGCTAAAACTGACAAGATCTGCTTAAGTTAAAACAATGTCACCAGTACAGGAACGTACAAGACATCCAGCAACTAGACAACGTGGGTCATAATTCTTTAGTTATGTTTAAATTCCTGATCTTGACTTCTAGCAAAGAGCTGCTATCAAACTGTGCATGGGATACGTTTAGCTCTAAAACAAATCCCATATTTCAGATCACTCAGGATAAACTATGCTTAGCATTTTCTACTGGAGCCCTACAGAAACTATTTTATAGTTGAAATATGAAAGATATTGCTTTACTGTATTCCACAACCCCAGTGACAATTACATTTGCTCTGTTTAATCATAGTAAGATTTTCATTGGAGAGGTGAACAATCCATGGACTTGTGAGTTGCTTTTTTCTTTAATAACTAGGCTCTAACAGATATCAATCATACACTAGCATCATTATTTCACAGGTATTTTTCAAGGCAGCTCTCAAAACCACTTCCACACTCCAAGGGTCTCTCCCATCAGCTGCAACTTCAAGTTTGCCTTGAAATACAACAACAATCTTTCCTCATTTCCCTATGCTTAACTGGATTGCTTGCAGAACATCTCAGATCACCCTTATCTCCAAATGAAAATATGCTTATGCTCCAAGTGAAATAAAAAGGGAATTTATACCATTGCATCTCTAGAAGGGGTCTTCAAGATATTCTGTATACTCAAAAGATAAAGCTACTTGTAAATCAAAGGTATTTGCATTTTATCACAAACATACAAAGGAGTAATATTTTAGAAGACTAACACATTCTTCAAAAAAACTCACTTAGGAAAGCAAACACAACAGAGGAACTATTGGGAGTCAAATAAAGGAAAGTAAAATGGTAATGAAAAAGCAACATCATCCCCCATCCAACACTAGACTCTGCAAACTGTCAGATAGAAGTTTGAGAGGGAAGATTTTCTTACCTAGAATCATCCAGCTAATAATTTGATTCAATACAGGCAATCCCAGTTTGTTCTTAAGGCTGTCATGGGTACTGCTCACAACATATGTTGAAAGAGCAATACTCAACATCTAGAAAGAAGAAATGAAACACAAAATTAATGTATGGATCTCTTCCATCCCATACTAAATACGTAAATATGCTTTAGAGTTGCATAAACACCTCTTCTGGATCACCTTAAGAACAGGAAGTCTGATACGTAGTGTTAAGAATTTCTAACTCTTTATAATTTACAATTACAAACTTTTTAAAATTTCCTTCTAGTTTTTTATTAGTATGCTTATTATTATTTATTTGTGCTACTTTAAAACCGCATACACAAGGACCCTGGATCACTGATTTGACATGACATGTTCTTTGTCAAGAGTAACTACTTAAACACTCATGCAAACCACAGAAAACATATGCCCCCAGCTTTTAAAGGTGCACTTGTCCTCAAACAACCACCACCAAGAACAAGCAGAACCTCTGGCTCTGCTGCAGTATCAGGTACAGGGCAAAGGGGAAGGGTACTTAAGGCAAGAGCTTTGCATGGCCAAAACTGCTCCAGTAAGAAGAAAAGCAGCAGCAGAAGAGACTGGATTAAGGGATGGAAAGAAGCTTTTTTCCCCCCCTCCAATTAAATTGTTTGAGCCAAGCAGAGCCCTGTGCCTTGGAGAAGCAGGGAAGCTGAAGAGGGTTTTTTCCTTGACTAATTCAAGAGACACCATTCAGTCACCAAGTACATGCAAAAAACCTTAGGAAAATTACCTCATGAGTCAGTTACTTTTGAAAGGTGACAATTATGCAAGAAAATGCTTGAGCCAAGTTTTCAATTACTCCTATTTATTCACAACTCTGCAGTTCCACTAAAAGGCAAATCAAGCATGCACAGTACTTCACAAACATGTGCTTTAAAACTGCACTACAAGATGTAATTGCTGTTGTGGCTTTTTCAGTGTGCAGTAACTACCCAGTGTTCGCATCCATCACTTTTTGCCGCATGAATAGTTGCTATTTTTCTTCTAGACGAGGTGATACCTAGGTATCAGCCCAGAGCATACACTTAGCAGTCAGCATTCATTTTTGGCCAGTCTCACAGGTGCTCAATATCTGCTGCTTCTATTTAATTTGAGGCCACAAGAACACGTACCTTGTATTTCTCTGTGACATCAATAACCAAGGTCAAAACAGTAGGCATCCAAAAGCACAGGGAATTGGACTCTTTAGACCTCTGATGTTAATTTTGGATACTTTTGCTGTATTCAGGCCTTTGATACATCTTTTCAAGTTCTTTTAGTGTCATGAGCTCTGGTAATTCCTCTGCTATCCCCCTAGACACTGGTGCAGTCACTTTGCACTCACTTTGTGTCATGTCCCATAACATATCTTGTGCCTTGGAAGACTTGTGATGACCTGGGCACATTAGTAAACACAGTGTACTGCTACAAGATCTATACCAGTGTCCATGGAAGGGCTCTGCATCTGCTTTTAAGAATCCTGTGTTCACAGTTTAAATAATGTTCAAACTGTTCTTGGCTTTTACCAACATCTCTGTTGAACAGAGTAGAAGCAACATGGAGATGGAAACAGCTAAGAAACAGCTAAGAAACAGCTAAGAAACAGCTAAGAAACTGTCTTCATTCATCCTTCACAACCTTCTCTGAAGCTCAGAGATTTTTTTTGAACAGCTTAAGAGCAGGTCTCTGAGACACACTCATCCGTAGGTCACAGCTAGAATGGGGAAACCAAGGATGACACCTGCAGTCCCGATACCACCAGCAGCTCCGTCTGGGAGTTTTCCTAAGCATATATAATGGAAACAACCCACAGGCGTAATGGTAGAAGAACCAGCATCATTAGCTGGGTACAAGGTGGGTTGAAAAGATCCTTCCTTCCCCTGGTTCCAACAATATGACATGGATTCCTTCTGTTTACTTCTCTTCCTATTCAAAAGATGTGTATATGTTGTACTTAGGGACATGGTTTAGCGGTGATCTTGGCAGCACTAGGTTAATGGTTGGACTCAATTTTACAGGCTTTTTCCAACCAAAATGATTCTATAATTCTAATTTAGAGGAGAAAACTAATAAACTGATCACCTTGGACACACATGAAGTTCAAGCCTCCTAGGAATAATAACTTGGCCCGACATTATCAAGCAATGGAAACAGCAGTGTTTTCAGTAGTGCAGCAAAAACTGGACATTACCTATGAAACTGCTGGCAGAGAGAAACTGGTGCTCTCTCCAACAAAAAGATTAAGTTGTACAGTAGCACTGCAGCAGTCTACTGATGGATTATGAATGACTCCTGTTTTCATCATTGCTGAAGCCTTAGTGACCTCTCAGAGATCACAGAATCAAAGAATTGTTTACATTAGCTTAGGTTTAAATCAGTGAGCCCAACTAACAGCACTGCCAACTCCACCACTAAACTGTGTCCCTAAGTGCCACATTTACATCTCTTTTAAATACCTCCAGGGATGGAGACTCCTCCACTTCCCCAGGTAGCCTGTTCCAATGCCTGACAACCGTTTCTGTGAGCAATTTTTTTCCTAATATTCAATCTAAATCTCCCATGGTGCGACTTGAGGCCGTTTCCTCTTGTCCTATCACTTGTTACTCGGGAGAAGAGACCGACACCCACTTCACTAGAAGACAGAAGGATAATTAATCGAAAGGCAATTTCTTGCCAGAGCAAACAAAATTCAGTAAAAAAATGTTATTCCCTCTTTAATGATCTCAAAAAAGCTGAAAAACTCCTGGTAGTTCTCAAAAACGGTGAGGGTGTAACTAGTACCTTCTACCTCCAGCAGTGACACGTATCAAAACTTCAAAATTAGGTCTAAACATAACTGAAGTTTTTGTAACAGAAATGTAAATATAACCCCATGAAGTCACTCAAGCTTGTATTTTTACTTTAAAAATGTCTTTATTTACACATTTAGATAGTTTTAATGAAAAATCTTTTTGATCATGCTGTTTTGTTGTCTAAGACTTTTTTGTTACTTTAAGGCTAACACCCATGTTGAAAATCTACAGTGTGTATGCACAAAAAACAGTGAATAAATGAACAGCTTGTAAGTGGCCTCTTAGATTCATACAGGTGTTTGTTAAGGTGTACACTTTGTCCCATCCATGGAGAAACCAACACAAAAATAACACAGTTCAGGACCACATCAGAGGGAATTACCTTTTCTATGAAGGACTACCCACAAACTGGCAGGTTTTTCGCCTACTCTGATGGTATCTGCCAGCTCAGGTTTCTTTTTGACCAAAAGTAGAGCAATTACTGTAATGGAACAAGCTTTGTTCCTCACAAGGCATGATATTTTCACTACAGGCTAATTTCCAGATGAAAAAGGAAGCTCACTTGGACAAAAAAGAACAAAGTTTTCTTCAGAAGAGAAAAAGTTCATCATAAGCATGACAAAAAGCCTAGGCTATGCTGAATCCCTTTCTTTGTGTGATTGAAATAGGAAGAGAACTGAAAAGGGAAGTGTCTTTATTCAGATGTAATTCCAAAATAATTTGTGAAGAACAACTCAGGCAAATAGGAACTACTTGAGCCGTTATGAAATATTATCTTATTTCTTGCAAGAAAGTGTATCTCATCCCAAATCAGCAGATGCAAAAAACTGAGGTGAGGTAAAATGAAAGATTTAAAAGAGGATTCTTGCACAGACATCACCAAAACAAAGAGAAAAATTATTTAAAAAAACAAAACAAAACAAAAACCAACCAAACAAAAACCAAACCAAACCAAACAAAAAAAAAAAACAACACCAAAGACAAAGTCAAAAAGAAGTCATGGGATCCTGATCAAAGTAGCAAAAAAGTTTGGCCAGATCAATAGAACTTCCATTTTGCTAAATGGAAAAAAATCCCACAAAACCAGCTAGACTCTCCAGCTATTCCTTTTCCACTGTGTAATTCAAAGGCTTTTAGTCAGAGCTGAACCTATAAAAGGTGTTAGCAGAGCAGTTAAGGAAATCCCCAAGAAAAACCATAGGAGTAAGGGACACTGCATCTTCTACTTCAGTCAATAATTGGAAAAAAGTGGAACACAGAGAAGAAAGACCTACAGCGAATTCATCTATCTTCTCATTCCCCAAAATGAAGAAACATCAAAGAAACAATCTTAGTTTCCTCTCTAGGAAGGAACAATATTATGAGAGGAAAGCATAACCTTCAATGACTGCCTCCAAACACCACCTGTGGGAGAGCTGCAAAACCTACTTTTACAAAACCCCTTGACAGATGCAAAGCAGGAACCTGATTGAGTGCACTTACGGACATGCATGTCAGTGCCCTGATTACTGTCTATCACTGCAAAATAGGTATGCTTCCTTTGACTAGGGGACTCATCTCACTCTTAAAACTGTCTGGGAGTTTTAAATCAAAACTCGGGATTTCCAAATGCGCTAAACAAGCATTTTAAAAATTACCCCTTCCTGTTCCCACTGAGAAGTCCAACTCAAAGGAAAACATACAAGGAGAATGAAGGAATTCTGTTGCCTAGAAATACTTAAATTCTGACAAGCATTTTCCTTTCATATTCCTGTATGTTTCAAAGCAACTAAATGCAACCTAACCTCAAAACAAGGTATTTATTTAGAAACATGTATAATGCCTCTGTAATGTCCTTTTCCCCCTCTACGTCTGAATAATCTCACCTCTCAATCCTTTCCTTACCCAAAGTGTGAATGGTGGATCCCATGTTTTCCATTCCCAAGTAAGGTGCTGAAACAAAAGTCTAATAGAGACTAGTAATTAGATGTCACTGTTGTAGAGTATCTTCCAATTAAGGGGCAATTTGAGGAACTTTATGATCTTATTAAATGTTGGGAGAAAAATTAAGACATTACTTTCTGAACAAGAAGGTGGAACATTTTCATCTACTTAAGTACCTCAGGCCTCTGTGAGTGAATTTCCTGATTCTCTAAGTTTGCCCAAGAGTACTCTGGCATTACTTTTTTACTACAGATCTATTTCTTCATCATCTTAACTTTTGAGCTCCCCCACAAAGTTACACCACATGAGATGTTGCAGCAGTTGTGTGCTGAGTTGAATTAGCTAGCTGCCCAACCAGCTGCTCCCTCACTCCTTCATCCAGTGTAAGCTGTTTTCAGGCACTTCGGTGAGAAATCCATTGCCGATTCTATACTGGAAATATATGTTCTAAATGCTTAGGAAAAGAACTGACACATTTTTTCTACATGTAAGCTGTGAAAGTTCAGAGAAAACACTGCCACATTTTACATGCCTTCATGCTCAGGTAAAGGCATTTTAACTATTCATTACTGCTTCATTACTCCTCCTTTCAACCAATTTGAGCTCTATACCTAAATCACTGATATAATGAATGCATAGCTTAGCTCAATAAGAAACTCCAGGACACACAAAGTCATAACTAATAAAGCTGGTCCTGAAATAAAACCATTATCTTGTAATGAGTAGAAAAGGAAAAAAAAAAAAAAAGAGGACAGCGGGCATGTAAAGCTATTATTAGAATGTTAAAGCTCTCTAGAACTTAATTAGCAGCTACTCTGAAAAATATCTACTTATTTAATGAAGCTATAAAGAAATAAAAATCTTATCTTTCATCTGAAAGACTTAACCAATGGAAAGCCAGCTTAGTATCAGTCTCACACTTATTCTGCAGCAAAAAACTGGAACTGGTTCAGCCCCCTGAACCAGTAAGCCTGTCCTTAGTGTGCACATGCAACTACTGCAAAGGTCACTAGAACTTATGTACACAGACCAAAGACAGGACAAACTCTCAAACTCTCCAAGCAAAACATCAAAATATGTACACACATCTATATATCAATCAATATAAATATACACAGGATGGGCTTTTGGGAACACAGTATGATGGTACTTACACATGTGCACATGGTTCTCTTGAAATAGTCAAGGGGGAAACTCTTAGAAACAATAACTTTCTTCTTGAAATTTGTGGCCTTGATAGGAACATGTTCTTAGAAAGTAAGTAAAAATTTGCATGTAAAAATTTGAGAATTACCGAAAAGTAGCAACTGACCTGATAAAAATATACTTTCAGATCTTCATTATTTCTGTACTTCTTTGTCAATGAGAAGCAAGAGATCAAGAGGGTCAGCAAACCAGCTGCTATTCTGCAAAAGTAAACAAAAGAACAATAAAATTCCAGCAAATATAATCAAAAGTCTTTTTTTTGCTGCTGTACGCTGTCTTGTTGCACTTTACTTTCCACACCAGATTCAACCCCAAGAGAGCTTTGGCTTTCCTAAACTATCCTGCATACTCAGTGTCTCTAGGTTCCTACTGGATCATTTGACCTTGCTTCCACCTCCTATATACTTCTTTTTTATGACTGAGCTGAGTCAGGAGCTCCCTGTTCCTACCATACAAGTTTTATTAATGTACTGAGAAGCTCTAACCTGACATATAGTGCCGCTGCTCAAGAGCAGATGCACCTGTTTCTCACTGCCACTCTGATTTCTCCCTCCTGTGTTTTCTCTCCCAGCATCAACTTGTCTTCAACATCTAGAAGTGTCACATATACATATATTTTTAATTGTTGCTTCAAGCTTTTTCAGCTTCAAAACTCCCTTGAAAAGATTCAGACAAGCACAAAGTGTTTTAGAGGTGCAATGTTTCATTAGAAGAAAAAATAGAAAGCCTGGGCAAGGCGAATATAGAGAAATGTCAGGGAGGAAGATCTGAAGGTAATTTAATTCTATTCTGATTCTAAGCTGTGCACAAATGTTCTAAAGAATAGAAAAACCTCAGTTTGGACCAGCAGAAATACATATATGTGTATATACAGCTGAGAGGCTGTAATACAGCCAAAGCAAATCTGTCTTGAATATTTGTAATGTGCCCAAGGATAGAGACTAAGAAGGGTTTTCAACAGATGGATTTAAAACACAGCAAAAAAAATTAGGCAGAATGTCAATAATCTTGGAAATATCTGGGCTCATAATTCTACCTGCAATCATATATTACTGCTCAGATCCCATATTTCACTGAGGATCAGGCACCCTGGCTCTGGTGGGGCACAGTATCTTCTGCAGACAGCAGGAGCCATTGCAGTCCATTCAATTCAAGTCTCTATCGACAGTAAATACAATGACACCACAAGCCTAACCCTTCAGGCCAACCACCTGGATTGCATCCAGATATGAGAGAGGGCTTGTATGATCAAAGAGTAGCTCACAAGAGGAGAAGGAGAGATGACAGAGATGCGCTAGAAGAAAATGTAAATCAACAACTGCTAAAAATCAGACAAGCAACACCATAAAGGAAAACTCCAAACAGAGAAGTAGAAGTGGAAAAAGAAGAGACAAAGGAGACACTGAGGAAGAAGAGAGCTCTGCCCATCCTGTTTGTTCTATTTCCCTGAATATCTCATTAGGTAGAGAGTGTTGTTCAAACATAGATTATTCAAAATTAGATGGACAAATTCAGAAAGATGGTATGAAAAATAAATTGCTTTTGACCAAATGTTCTTATTCACGTCAGCGCTATTTACCAGGTTTGCACCCCAGTGAAGCTCCTCCTTTAATGATGACCTTTATTTTCATGTAAAATGTGCAACTTTTGTGTTGTGAGAAATGTTTCCCTTGACAAGAAATTACAGATTAACACAAAGACCAAATGGATGTGGCAAAAGAATTAAAAGTCTATTCTCATTCACATTGGTGAGTAACAGAGGTCTCTATAATCATGTTATTTAAATTCTGAATTTCAATGCCTGTCTCAGACAGCTTTCAATAATACAATTCCTCACACATATCAAAAGACAGCCTCAATTTTGAATATCAAAGAGGGAAATAAAAAGTTTAAAGAACAAAATGAGATTCTTACACCAGAGGAATGTTTGGTTCTCTTCCTACAACAGGCATTAATGGAAATATTGCAAGGAGCACACACAGAAGAGTCCAGATCAATGCTCTTGTCTAAAAAAAGAAAGACAAATGGGATTTTTTGGAGATCATGTGAACAGACAAAGGTCTAATCATAAAGAAATATTCAGTGAACTACTAATGGCTACTTGCATCTCCCACGAGCAAAAACCCCTGCATCTCTCAAGAGTAAAATTAACTAAAAAAGGGATCACTGATATTACAGCACTTCAATTTAATACAGAAAAGAATCTCATTTACACAGCTGTCAAAATCCCATCAAAGACAATGATAATTAAGCTAAGTTTACACTTGTAAGCACTTTCTCAAAGTGTGGCCTTCACACACATTGCAGAGCCAGAAATCTGATGAGTGATCTAACAGAAGAAAGACATAAAACTAATGTCCTCAGAAGACTGCAGCAGTTAACTAATCAGCATTGAGAGAGAATACTCTGAGAATATGGTAACATTTTCCAGTCTTTGAATCTGTGTGCCATTTGATTTAACCACTATAATCACCTAAGCAGTTCTCTAAACCCTTTGCCAGGAGGAAAAAAACTCAAACCATTATCCCAGGTATTTTAGTTAAATAAAAACATTAAGAGCTATATCATTTAAAGTTTTCAAGCTGAAGTCAAACTGGCATTCCTGAAAGGAAATTTCAGTGCTGCAAAACATCTTCGTGCATACCCAACTTTAAGACAAGTTACTTGATTACTCAACTATAACAAAAATTGTAAGTAAACAAATACAAGCCTGCACTTCGACAGTGCCTGCAGAACAAGACTTAGCAACTTGACTCCTTTTTTTTTCACCCCAGAACCCTAGGTTTTAGGTATTCCATGAAAAAAGAGATGTTTGAATAAACTAATGGAAGAAATTAAATCAAATTAAATATCTTAAATTAAAGATTGTGACACTTCATATTCATATCTACAAAAATGGAGCTTTTTTGCTGGGAAAAACAGTACAGAAAGATGGCTGTGAGGAACAATATGCGCCAGCTGACTACACACAATGATGAATTGACAAGCGTTTTTCAGTTATCCTCAATTTTTTTTCTTTTTTTAATAAATGATCATATTACTTGAATGGTGACCAATTGCACATGTCAACATTATTGTTATTGTGACAGTTTGATAAATGATGTGCACTTCATATGATTAAGTCAAGCATTTTTTTGTTATTAACAACAGAAAACTGATAGCTAATTCATAGCTACCCCAAAATTCTTAAGCAGTCTTATTATCTATGTTGTATTTCAGACCTCTCCAGATCATATTAAATTTCCTTGCTTTGCTACATGCTGCTCATGACAGGATCAGAATAAGAGCATAAATTGAACAGGATTCCAAAGCAGCATTTCAAAGAGACCAGGTCCAGCATCCTAAGATGTAATTCAGCTGTTCACAGCTTAAAATGCTCTGCTTAAGCAAAGCAATACAGTACCTTTGCTTGAACCCAGAGCTGTGTGATCACTGGCCAGCAAGCAAAAACAAGAAGACCAACAGTAAGTGCAGAGCGGTAGAAAAAGCTGAAGACCTAATTAAAAAAGAAAAAAAAAATCCAACAGAAGACTGAAAATCAAAGACATTCATTTCTCAAAGAGTTAGAATGCTAGAAATGAGATACCCTGTTGATACCTATGGATAAAATACTTACTAGTATTTCAATTCCCAGTATACAAACCAAGAGGAATCCTATAGACTGACCAATACGAAGTGACAAGACATTTGTGGCCAGATCTTGAATAACAGGAATTCTGTTAAAAATGATGGAACAAGATAATATTTATTTTTTAAAAAACAGAAATAACATAAATTTTACCTTTGAAGGGCAAGGAAGGGGGCAGAGCACAAAAGAAGTTACAGATATTGTTGGTCATGCCTGCTGTTTAGAAACGGAGTGGGTGATGGCCAGAGGATCCTTCTGTCCAGCTTTAGTTGGTAGAAAATCAAAAATAAAACCCTCCTGCTCTTTTTCTCCCGTTTCTGGCACATCTTTGCCAGTATTTGGACAAGCTTCAGATTATTCTCCATCCAAATTGACTCTGAGTTTATGAATATTTTTGGTTATGTTTTGCTTAATGTCTGTCATAACTGATGAAACATTCAGAAGGTTTAGAGAGAGAAAAAAAATTCCCTGTTAGCTTTTCCAGTGTTTTATGAGACAGCTCATTATCTAACTGCAGTTGGTCTCATTTTCTCTGAATAATACTGAAGTGGTATCTACAAATTGCCAGTAGATCAGGAAAGTAATCAGAATCAGAAGGTAACAAGTATTTTTGGGTTTGGAGTAAAAGGAGACCCAAAGAAGACAAATTTGTTTCAATATGGGAGCACATTCCTCAACATGACTGGTACAGGTTCTCCAAGAGCAGCTGGAGTTCAGCACACTTGACACTTTGCAGGATCAGACTATTTCAAAATTACTGAAGGAATGGAACAACCAGTCCCATTTTACAAAACAACTCAGCTGCTACAGGTATTTGTCCAAGATTTTAGCACTCTTTTACTAGAGTTACAAGAATACTAAAAACATTTTGTCTTGGAAATACTTTAATTTATTTTTTATAATAGAAAAGGCATCTTCTAGAATTGGCAGCTGTATCAGTCAGTTTGGAAACTACTCGATGTCAACTGAAATATAAACCAGAGTCCTTTGGAATGGCTTAGGAAACATTTCACGAAGTTTAATAGAACTGTATCTAACTTTTTTTCCAAAGTTATGGGAAAAATTCAACTCTCAACAATAAGGGAGCCCAGACCTGGTCTTGTAAAACAGTAATCATAAATTGCATTCTTTACTTACTCTTTCACAACTGCATACCATACTGGTACTGGCAAGAGGCAGTATACATAGTATGTCCAAGGACATGTTTGAATCAACAGGAAAAAAGCTATTATCATTCCAGCAAAGGCAAAACCATAGAAGAGAACAGTAGATCTCTGAAAAACAAATGGTTGGACAAACATTCTTGAAACAGCAATAATATATTTTAAACTACACACGATTTGCCATTTTTTAGTTACATAGTAAAACAAATGTTATTTTAACACGGCCACACAAGCTGTCATGTGGCTATGTACACAACTCTGAACAAAGTTGTCAGCCAGATTAAAAACCCAACCAACAGCAGGGTTTGAAGATCTAATTCTAAATACATCTCTTCATAAGGTCCTCCAGTAAAATCTGCACAGGAAAAGCAAATCTGTACAAACTGGAAGCCAAATATATGCAATGTTATTTATGTTCCATGGAGACTTGAAATCCATCTGCGGTCAGAGATGCTAAGGGTCTTGGAAAAAAGAACTCTCAAGTTTAGATTCTAAAAACAGACTTGGAGTTCAGCCTTTGGAGTTCAAGTTCATAGCATTACGGTCAAAGTGTTTAATGAAAATTCCATCAGGATGTTTATTTCTCCTACTTGAGACATTTGTTAAGAGAACTAATTAAATTAAAATACAAAGTATTAACTCCTACCGTAAAACCCCACAACTATTCAGGATCCAGGAACAGCTACTGAAGGAGGCTTGTGACCAACCTTCCACAGGAGAAACTGCCTTACTCAAAGAACCCACAATTTTAAAATACAACAGTGGACTAGCACTGCACAGCACTGAAAGGTAGCATAGCTACAACTGTTAATATACTTAATCCTAACTTGAAACTCCTGCTTTGGGTTTTTCTTAAAAAAAATAAATTAGATGTGGGGTCAGAACGTTATGTACTCAAAGAAATACATTCTCAGATCGAGAGCACTGTAAGGAGGAACATCAAAAAGAGAAAGGAAATTTTTAAAATGGGTTATCTAAGATAGGTAGGTCAGTTCTCGATCATCAGACAGCAGCAATCTCTTGTTTGTGCAAAGATGAGCATTAAAAAGTCACACTGCATCTGCCTTTTATCTGGTCATTGAGCTGCTCTTCCTTATTCAGGGACATTCAGATATCAGAAGAATTAGTGGTAAGGGAAGATTATGTACGAGTTTTAAATAAACAATTTTGTCTGTACATAATGCAACTTGATATAGCAAAGACAGATTTAGTGACTGAGCAGTCTTAGTGTACTGTGCAGGTAATGACAAAGACACTCTTTTTTTCTACAGAAATGCTAGTTTCTTTGAAGAGTTATGTAGACAGACACACAACCAAGTTAAATATGCTGAAAAGAAAAATCAATTAGCAGTTCACATAGACGGATTAATATCTTTTCTAACACCCCCTCCCTGTGACATACAACTGCCTTGATCTAAACTGACAGTAAATGCAAGTTCTAAATGATTTTTAAAATAGAATTTCTCCTAAGATATTCCATTAAATTAAGAAAAGATATGTCTTATGGAAAGCTAACAGTGCAATTTTGCTTTATGAGTTTTAAATTTTACATTTGCTGACATACAGACAGAATGAATATGTATACATGACAGGCACACAATATAATTTATCACTGAATGAGTAAACACATACAATCAACATTTTAGTCCATATAGCGATATAAATATTATAGAGTACAATAGAGTCAGTCATGCATTGAAAATGGAAACCAGATTTGCATTTTCTGTGGATGTTTAAAATAGATCAAAAGGTTATGCTTCTTGCTAAGCAAAACAGCACACTACACTAAAAGAAAAAAAGTTTCTTTCATACGCAGCATAGGAAACTAAAAACTTTTAAAGATGATATATACAGGATATACAATTTCATTATTCAGAGGCTCCTTGATTTTATAAGGTTGTGCTTTGCAGGAGACCCTTTGTCAATAGTAGATTAGTTTCTCAGCAAAATTCTTTAAGTAGCTCCAATATGAGCTATAAACCAAATAACTTCCATATATGAAGCGTTAGCCTTACACTGTGGTTCAGTATTTAGGTACATTAAAAAAGGTTTCTCCAGAAAACTGAAGAAAGAGAAATTCTATAGACAAAGAACTAAGAAGCCTATTTTTTTTCCTGCTAGTGTTACTAGCATAAAATATGCCTTCCACAAATAAAATCAATATACCAAATGAAAATCTATGTAAAACTAAAAATGCAAAACTTTCCTTAATGTAGTTATTAATATGCCTGATCCTCAGGTCTATTTATTGTAATCATTTTGTTCATATCTAACATAACATGCATCTCAGATTATTTCCTCTCAGTTATTTGATGAAAGAAAACCTAAATCATGCCGTGCAGCACTTATTAATATTTTCCATTTTAATTTTGTTTGATCATTTTCATTAAAGGCCAAGGCTATCTCATTTCAGCCAGTAGTAGAAACCTCAAGATAGAATGATAGGAATTTTCTCAGAGTAATGTGTTGAAGGCAGTAAAGATATTGAGTGCTCATTCTCATTTACCTTACCAAATGAAACAATTCCTTTTATTCTGAAACAAATTCTTGAAGTTTGGGAGAATTTCCCTTCCCCATTGAGGGCTTTAATCCTTCTCTAGTGAAATGCCAGTTTTTTGCCTGTTCACCTTTTTGAAGTATCTTTTTTCCTGATGAATGGCTGAAAGTAAATTAATTTCCTATGATTTTCTACTTTGTGAAAAATCAAACCATAATAACCTCATCAAAAAGACCTTCCTTCATCTTTGATCTCTTCTGCTGCACCCTTGTAAATCATAAAGAGCAAGAGAGCAGGATGCTCTGTGAAACCACAACTCACTTATTAAAATGGGTTATATATTTTAAAAATGCCATGACTCTATTGCACAGTTTCTGAAAACTGATTTAAAATTGCCAAAGAGGACAGGAATAACCATAATTTACATGCAAATTTTTTTTACAGTAAAGAACAAAAATCAAACTGGAAGACCATTCTTCCAAAAGAGTACAACAGAATGCTGACTTTACTAAAATTATTGTTGCAAATTGGCTCCTGATTCAAGACAGATCCTTTACCAGTTTTAAACCACTATGTTTGCTTACAGTTGTGTTAGCATCTAGTAAAATGCAAACCCGTAGGAAGGAAGAAACTGAGGAAGCACAGTATTGCATATTCAGACTCACATGGCTTAGGAGTAGTGATCCTAATAAATGGACCAAACAATAACACTACAGAGGATTACAGCAGCTGGAAAACTCAACAGCTTGCCACTTTACACATGAAGTCAAAAGAAGCGTAAGGTGTGTAGTTTGTCCCACATAGAGTCACTGAGCACACATATAATGCTGAAAACTGATAGAAAAAAATAATTACATGTTTTCAACCTACCTTATTATTAGTTGGAACAGTCTTGGTCAAATTGGTATGGGTCTTGATAATCACCAAAATCACGTAAGTCGTCCAGCCCACAAAACTCATTGCAATACTTAGACCCAGGAATAATCTATCATAAGTATGGTAATAAGATAAGCCTTCCAAAGCAAGGTTAATCAGGGTTTTGCACAAGGATACCTGGAGGTGGACCAAACATATAAGCAACAGTTTATAACAGTGTAAGTTCCCCATTCCACAGATCAACCTAATTGACAGCAACTGGAGCTCAGGCAGCTCCAGCACTCTTGGCACTCATGTCCTCTCCACACTCAGGTACAGTGTTTTGCCCAGCAGCAGGTGTTGGAGTACACACTGCTTTGGACTCCTGTTGGACATAAAATCAGCCATTGCTTGGCTCCTTAGCCATCCTCCCTGGCCATGACAGTAGTTAGATGGTGAAAGCTACACAGACAGCACACCTTGAACACCACCTACTACCAAGCATGTCACTTGGTTTCCCCATAAGCATTTGACTATATATATTCCACAATAAGTTAGTCCCTTGAAAAGCAGTCATGTGCTTCTGAAGGCACACTTACGCAGGAGGAAGATTATGGATGCAGCTGAAACATGGTCACTCTCCACAGCCTGAAACACCTCCTTCCTGGGGTTCAGAGACTACACTGGAGTCCCAGCTTCATTCACAAATCAGCTGCTTGGGGCTCTCAGGACGTAAATCATTTGGACACAAGAAGGGTTGTATCTACTCTAATTACAGGCCCCCTTACTCAGTATCTCCAATGGGGAGACATCCTGATAAAAACAATGGGTTTTCCCAGCATGAGTGTCATTCAGATGTGTTGACTCCTCTTATTTACCCAAAGATGGGAAGCTCATCTCTGTTATTTGTGGTCACAGAGGATTCCCTAGTGGTTAAAAGATCTGTAAGGAGGAGTAGAATAAGAAGTTGAACACACATGATGATGCTTCTTTATATGTGCAGGTATTCAGCTGGGACTTAACAACAACAATCAACAGAAAAAGGTATGGCCACAACTGAAGAGATCACAAGTCTGTCAATGGGCAAATTCACCCCAAATGACACCATTCTAGAGGATACAATTATGACTGTATATTTGCAATGCAAAAAGCTACAGAGTTGAGGCAAAGAATCATCCACATCCCAGTTTCTGGTAATGCACTGACCTTCCCACATTGCAATACAGGATGCTAAGGACAACCAGGGCACAAGTGCAAGTCTCATGTGCCAGTGATTAAGAGTGAACTTGAACACCTGGGGCATTCAAGTGAGTAAGGGGTAAAACTTACATATAACCAACAACACAAAATCGCAGGTTCTACTCCTGAAAGGTACAAAATGTCTCCTACAAGTAAACATGACAGCCAAGTAGAAGTATTAGGAAACCAAAAAGAAAACCTGCTCCCACAGCAAAATAGATCCATTTATTTAAACTGAACTGTTTCCAATTTGCAACAAAGTAAATAAAAAGGCATAAGGTATAAAATAGATTTAGCTGTCCTGTGCATAAAATAGTAATTTATTGCCCTGAGAATCATATTAGGAAAAAAGAACTGAACCCTAATACATAATGGAATTATTCTTCCATGCATCTGGCAGGTTAAATGCAATCTTATATATTCAATTTTTTCACTTACTTTTTAACACAGAAGTCAATGACCAAACTAAACGTGTTACAATGAAAGACTTCTTGGTATCATTTAACTCTACAAATTATTTCTGTTAACATCAGAATACAAGCACTGGTGAACTGCACACATCAAGTACCCTGTCAAACAGTGAGTAGTAGCAAATGCTTAGGAAATTAATACTGGAACTGGAAAGCATGATTTCATACATGGCTCCCAGTCTGAAAAACTGAAAATGTGAAATTAAAACCAAGAACAGCTGGTTCAGGTAAAAGAACAAAAAAAACCCCAAGACCTACGATGGAGTAAAATATCACTTTTTTTTCATGCAACTGGTAGTCTAAGAAGTGTGAACATGAATTACATTCTTCAGTTTCTCTCTCAATTTACCCTTTTATACAGCCAAAAATAAAAACATATAGTGTGTCAGAATACTATGGAATGGTAATAGTTTAAGAAGTATGAGGAAAAAAATACAGCAAGTCAGTATTAGTGATCAGAACTGGTATCCAAATGCAAAGTTTTTGAGACTTAAAATGAAATTTTTTTTGTGTTAATGAGACATGCATCATAGGAGATAAAAGAGTTTTATTTCTCAGTTCATTTCAACTTAAACAAATCTAAATATTTATATATACCAAAAAACAGACTTACCGCTTCATTGTACTTCTGCTGCTGAATATATAATCTTATTTTCTTTAAAAAGTTTATTTGTTCAGATTCAGAAAGTGGTCTGTACAACAATATAAAGAGATATTAACATTTCTTCTTTTCATGAGCAGAAAAAAAATTTTGCAATAAAAAAATTACTCTGGAATGAAACATAACGAAAATATTCTCAACTTCATTAGAGGTAAATAGGTAATTGAGACTAATCTATTCCTCTACATTTATCTTCACACATGTCAATATGGCTTCTGTTTAACCTGTCTCAAGATTTTTGCATTAAGAGACATTTCTTTTATGTAGCTTATCCCATCTAATACTGCTAAAAATTATCTCCCTTGTGCATTATTACTGACCATTGCCCTGGACAAGAAGCATGGCACATCCAAGAATTAAGCAATTTAACTGATTTAAAGATGGTTGTAGGTAGTTTGTAAGCCTGACAGCATAGGATGATTTGCTCAGGTTCCACACTAACAGTAGATGATGCATAACAATCTTCTCTTTGAAAAGTTATGAGCTTGTCTCCTGTTACACATGGAGCTATTAGCAGAGTCCCAAGAGCAGGGGATAACACAGTCACCTGGCTACACTGAAGTCAGTGATAAAAATCTCTTTGATTTTAATGGATTTGATCATCAACCTAAGTAATTGCTACAATTCCTCCGCTACAGAAAGTAGCAACAAGGACAAACAAGCCAGTCAACCAAATTCCACCAAAGGAAAGGGGAAGGACCAGTTTCTCCTATACCATTTTCTTTCCAAGTTAAGAACAGGAGCAGGCTGGAGGATCCCAGGGTTGCCCAGGGTAAGTTACAAGCCAAAGCACAATCACTGTCGCTCTAGGCCACCACAGGCAAACTATCCTGGGTCACAGCTTTCTGACAGCCGATGAACACATACAGCAGTTTTGCACACTTTCCACAACATCACCGTGGCACAGCACCACCTCCCCAGCACCCCCAGCACGCGATGGCCCAGCTGCACATCTCCCTCCCTCGCACAAGCTCCTTCACATGCCGCATACACGACCACGAACTTCATGTTTCAGGTAGTGCCAAATCAGGACCAGACCTGGGTCACCCCCACTCAGCTGAACCACAGGGGCAGGTTTTGATCTTACACAGTTGCTGCATGGAAATGCTCATTCCTGCAGCTCCCAAACACTTGTGAACCTCTTTTGCCTATAGCCCAGCACCAGTTGATATGTAATCAATACATACATACCACCTTTTGAGCCATGAAATATATTACAAGTATTCTGTGCCTGAACAACCTGAATTGTTATAATTAATAACATCCTAGTATATTTTGATGCTCTCTCCTCAAGTTCAGAGCACAGTAGTATTGTGCAGGAATCTTCCAAAACACTGGATAATAGGAGCAGCAATGAATTTTACTATTGAGAAGAGTAAATAACTGTATTAAAAAAAGTTTGTCTCTTTTCAATCTAGAAAAGAATTGAAGGGTGGTATCTATAAACAAGTAGGAAGAAAGAGGTCCCATGGAAAATGAAAAAGGGAGGAAAAGATGATGACAAAGTGATGGTAAGAGTTTGATCACCTTAACTTTGGGGATAGAACAGAGGATTTTAGAAACCAGAGTTGAAAAATAGCAAAGTGAATATTGGTTGTTTCTGCACCTTCATGACATGCCCCAATGGAAGCCAACATTACAGCTCCACAGCCTGAGGGCTACAGTTGGAATCAATTCTTAAAGTAGGCAAACCAGATCCAAATACTGCCTCAAGGAAATTTGTGGCCCTCAAATTTTGCCAAGTTGTTTGGTAGGGGAAAGGGGGCAAAACACCAAACGGAGGTGGGACTTTTCACCATGTGTGGAGATTAATAGGAGAGAAAAAAAAAAGACAGTTTTTAGGTAAGGATTTAAAAGAAAATCTGGAATAAATATTCAGGAACTTTATTCAGGACTTAAATACATCCAAGATGTTCCTATGTTCCCTGTCTAATTTTTATTGTCTTACACATATTATTTTCTGTGAATTTTATCCTTGTCATATTCGATGCAAACTTATAAAGCAAAATTGCATTTTACTTTATATCTTTAGTCATTTAGCTATAACCCCCTTATTATCTTTTTACTCTCAATGAATCATTATATTATTAATGAACAATAGTCTTTACCTATTCCTTCTTAAGAGGACAGCACCTGGGATGTCTGTACACGGATGGTGTAACAGAATAAATGGGATTTTTAAACACTAAGGTTTCAAATAAGTCAAACACAGAAAGCAATTATTTTGTCAAATGGGGCTACCATTAGCAGGGGCATTGTTAATTTTCAATAGCTAACATCATACCACACATTTTAGCTTATTTCCATAGATACGCTCTTCAGGAGGCTGATCTTACAATTGTCTAACAAGTGTTTTTGTAAAATTTATTAATTTCTATGAAAATGCAAGGGCTGATCATTATCTTAAGACATTTTTCCTCTGTATTAAGGAAAAAGGCAAAAAAGTGATTAGGGAACTTTTGTATCTTACACCAGCCTATAAAGAAGGGTTAGCAAATATGCTGATTATCCCTTAATTAAAGAATAAGTATAGCTCACCATAAGCAGTTTATCATCCATTGAGGACACTGATTTGCTTCCTGAAGCTACAAAGCAGATGAGAGATTTAAAAGAAGCCCCCTGCTAGATGTAGCAGAAAGCAAAAACAGACAAAGACGAGCCACGAACAGAAGTGGAAAGTTGCCTATAGAAGAAAGCCATGGACTTCAGAAATGGTGATTCTATAAAGCCTACAAGACTTACCAAAAAACAAAACCAGAAGGAAAATTTAAATCTGAGAAGTAAAAGCTTGAACTATATTTAGCACCACTTAATTTTAACTTAAACTATTTAAAAGGTTTCCAATAGAATACAGATAGTGTTAGGAAAGAATAAACTGATCAGAATCATTTCCCCATGTTTGAGCATGCAACATCCCAGAGGCACTAGTAGTATGTCAATGTATTCTCAAAATCACTTAATGCACATGTCCATGTAATTAATATTAATAGTAATGAAGTTAATTTACTGATCATTATTAGAAAGATTTTGAACCCTAGAAAAAAAAAAAGTGTGTGTATACACACTCTTCCCAGTTACCCATCACCAAAATCCAATTCTACCAAATTCAAGATGAATAGACTTGACCAGTAAAATCAAGTCTTTTTCCATAACACAAAAATACCTGTCCTATTAAGAGATACACACAAAGAGAATTCACTCAGTAGATTCAATTCCATCCTCCTATTCTTGAAAGTATTGCAAAACACATGCACTGTAAAGTGAAGTTCTCTGAGGAAAAAACAAGAATTCCATGGTCATGCATGCTACAAACATACACATTCACAGTATCATCAGGATTCTAAAGATTTAAGTCTACATTCTTAAGTCTACACACAGAAAACCATGGTTGTTCTAGAAGAGTAATTTTATTTTTCATTATGGCTATTAGAGATTAATTCTAGTTCCAGACAGAAATCACAGTTTCATCCATGAATAAACACAATTAATTACAAAACAAAATGATTGGCCTAATCATGCAAGTGCTTGTAAGTCTCCCTTCTGAGATGAGATGTTAGCTACCCTTGTCATAGGTATACCTGACAAAATTAATCTTTCCAACACATCATTCATGCTTCATATAAGCTAAGCTATTTGACAGCACTTCTCAACAAGACTGTGACGAAGTACATGCACCATAGCAATGTCAAGGGGATCTCTCTTTGGCCAACGAGTCTTGTTTATCATCACACTACAGAAATTACCATCCCCAAAGGCATAGGTAGCATGCTGTAGTCAAACCACTAAATAAAAGAACTCAGAACAAAGGAAGATGTCTTGCAAATACATCTGTATCCACCACTGCTAGTTTGTTAATTTTATTATAACAGGTTATTTGGGTAATGATTTATAGTCATTTTAATGCATAGTAAATTTTCCAGAATTCTGCTATAAAGAGTAACCCCTTAGGATCTGTAGCAGTTTAACACTTAAGATGCTGCAGATGTAATAACGAAAGTCAAGGAAGCATCATAGACCTGTAGATGACACATACAAAGATAAAGACTGAGATCTTTGCCTAGTTCACCATCAGATGACAACAAATTTATTTCAGCTGTTTCACTACATATATTTACTACATATACACACAAGCTCCATGTACCTAAATATCAGTTCAGCTCATGCACATCTACACCCTTCTACCACTGCCTTCTCACTCTTCCCTATCAGAAAAAAAAAAAATTACTGTGCATCCTACAACTCTTTGGGAGTGGCAAGATTTGCAGAAGATATAATGGTCACATTTCTGTGATCCATATCCAGCAGCAAATCAGAAGTAGCTGCTTGGCAGACTTCAGCCTTCGAACTTTTCATATTGGTTGTCTGGGGGATTGGGAGAAAAGGACCAACTCCTGTTGATACAAAACCAAAAAAGCTAAAAGCTATGGATATACACCCCTTGAACCTTGTGATAGCCCCATGATGGAGCAAGGCCTTCTGAATAAAGCATGCTAGAATTTTGTATGGGTTGCCTTCTTCTGAACACCACATAAATCAGAGCTTCTCACTTGCTTTGCTATGAAATTTCTAACTCCAAAATTGTTGGCAGCAAAAGAGCCATTAGACCGCTACTGTCCAAACAACTCCAGCAACCTCTTCTGCCAAAATGCTGAGTAATTACAGATTCTTGTCCTCTTTGCCAGAAGGAAGATCCCTGGTATCATAGTGACTTGCAACCTGAAATAAATTGCCCAGGTTAATGTTGCCCGTCTCCACTGGCACCATCCATTCTGCAGAGTGGCTGAGGCCTCTGCCACCCACACCTGTCCTCTGCCACTCTGATACTGCTGGGGGCAGGCACCAGTGCATCTCTGCTCTCACCATGGGAGAAAATTGTCAGAAACAGAATCAGGTTCAAACTCTGTTGCCACTCATCCATCAGTGAGAGGGCCATACCATGGAGGAGAGATGGCTTCCAATCTGTCAGTTCTGCAAGCAGCTGAAACAGTACTTACAGGGCCCACTATTACTGCTTTGATCCAAACTCCCACT